TTGGGTTTAACGCCGCTTTTAACATTATTCATGTTATATCACGGCGTGTCAGCTTAATGTGGGAGAAAAACCCGAAGTGATGCTGGTCTCAGGCGTTTACCACTTCGATGAAACCCACGAGCACGGGTATGGTGCTGACAAACCTAGAAACATAATTGGGGCGAACCGGGATTCGAACCCACAATCACAGGTTTCTGACGTGCCCAAGGGAATCGCGGCGCCTTAGACATATATATACATATCATATATATATATATATATATATATATATATATATATATATATATATATATATATATATATATATATATATATATATATTTATATATATATATATATCAGTATATACATACACACACACATATATATATATATAAATATATATAAATATATATATATATATATATATATATATATAGGAGGCAGTGTTTATACAGTATAGTAGATATCAGATGTTACACTGGAGTGGAGAAGCATGTTATGTAAAAAAAAAACATGTTGACCGGCGGAGTCATTAGTATAAACAAAAGGTTGAAGCCGGTAATATAAACAAAAGGATTGTGACTGATTGGGGTCTTTGATGACTTGATGGTAAGCCGGGGGTGATAGCCTTGCTCGCGGTTGATCGACGGTTGGAGTCTTTTGATGTTGATGGCGTCTTCTGATTTTGAAGTCTTTGAGGTTGGTGGTGAGGGCTTTGACTTTATCCTACTGAGTGCTGTGGCTTGGGTTGTCACGGATATGGTCCGATAGAGCTGACATCTTTGGAGACTGAGCTTTGATGTTCTTTAATTCGGGTTTTGAGGGGGCCTCGATTTTTCTCCAATATAAGCTTGTCCACAATTGCACGGAATGTGGTACATTGCTCCTGCTGGTTCTAGTTTGTAGCTTAGTACTCCTAGTCTAAATGCCCATCAAAGAAGAAATAAGTATGTAATCGCTACCTTGTAATGTCCTTTCAAGATCAAATCGCCCACACTGCCGCACTGCATGGCCGCGTCCCGTGTACTCCAGAAAGGTATTCCCGTTTATGGAAGTAAAAATTAAAGATTTATAAAAGTGGATCCCATGAAGAGAATTTTAGTTTCAGTCTGAAAGTATCTACCATCACTAATACATGTCCCAGACATAGTTCAATTAGTCACTTACAAGAAGGATACATTACAGAAGACAATGGAAGTGTGACATTCACATTTTCAAAGATTGTTGCTCTACGACTGAAACAATGCTGATACATTTTGAGTAAGTGAGTGAGTGAGTTGGGTTTAACGCCGCTTTTAACAGTATTCCAGTTATATCACGGCGTGTCAGCTTAATATGGGAGGAAAGCCCGAGGTGAAGCAGGTCTCAGACGTTTACCACTTTGGTGAAACCCACGAGCACGGGTATGGTGCTGACAAAACTAGAAACATAATCGGGGCGAACCGGGATTCGAACCCACAACCATAGGTTTCTGGCGTGCCTAAGGGACGCAACTCTGCATAGCGAATCGCGGCGCCTTAGACGACTGGGCCACCCGTGCCCCCGATACATTTTAACATACTCGGCGTGTGTCAGGATCTTGGTGACTATGGTCATTTCCTATGAAAGATCACTCTAACACAACTCCCGTCTCACACACGAAAGGACATGTGAAGATCCGGGGTAAAATAGGTCTTCAGCAACCCATGCTTGCCGTAAAAAGCGACAATGCTTGTCGTAAGAGGCGACTAACGGGATCGGGTGGTCAGGCTCGCTGACTTGGTAAATGCATGTCATTGAATCCCAATTGCGTGGATCGATGTTCATGGTGTCAATCACTGAATTGTCTAGTCCAGACTCGATTATTTACAGAGCGCCGTCACATAGCTGGAATATTAGCACGACAAGCAGACACGTAATGTATAATGCAAATGCATTAGAGTCAGGTTGGAATGATTGTGTTCTGTTTAAGGAAAGCGATATTCAAAATCCCTAATCCCAAATCAGATTTGGAGCCGAGAATATTTCTCTATGAAAACTTAATGTGGGGGAAGGCTCGAAGTGATGCAGGACTCAGACGTTTACCACTTCATTGAAACCCACGAGCACGGATATGGTGCTGACAAACCTAAAAACATAATCGGGGGGAACCAGGATTCGAACCACAATCATAGGTTTCTGTCGTTCCCGAGGGATGCAACTCTGCACAGCGAATCGCGGCGCCATAACGACTTGGCCACCCGTGCCCCCCTATGTTAATATCTGTGTTACTGCCACTGAGGAAGTAATTTACTCATTAAACGCCTTTTTGGTGCGTAAATGTAGTTTTATGCCGCGGTCAGTATTCCCTTAGCTAGGTCACAGGAAGCTGTACATAATCGAGTCTGCACTCGACAAACACGCGACCGACAGCATTAGCAGCGCCATCGGGTCATATAGTGAGTGAGTGAGTTTGATTTTAGCACTACTCCAGCAATATCACGGCGGGGCGGGTCATATAGACACACCACGAGTCCCCACGAGGATGTACTTGGAATTGTATATGGGGTGGTGCAGTTATGCCGCTTACAGACTTTAATTTTTGATAGATTCAAGAGTCCCTGCAATATATGAAGTACTGTCATGTTAATTCATGTTAATTCCACTCGTCTAATAGTTCGTGGTCTTCATCAAACTTGCAACAAATTCTAAATTCCTTTCGACTTTATATCAATTGTACAATAAACTACGTTTATAACGAACAGGCGTTTAACGAACTGACGGGTATAACGAACTGTTTTTTGGCCCAGTCCATTCGCTATAACTATGTTGTATATGTGTTTATGTCGAACTACGGTTATTACGAACTAAATTTAGTGGTCCCTTTAAGTTCGTTATAACCGTAGTCACATTGACTGAAAAATCATCTTATAAATCATATATATTTCACTGATTATGGGTCAAGTAGATCGTCAGTACCCTCCCTGTATGTGTGGTGAGGTCTGACCAATGGGGGGGCACGGGTGGCCCAGTCGTCTAAGGCGCCGCGATTCGCTGTGCAGAGTTGCGTCCCTTGGGCACGCCAGAAACCTTTGATTGTGGGTTCGAATCCCGGTTCGCCCCGATTATGTTTCTAGGTTTGTCAGCACCATACCCGTGCTCGTGGGTTTCACTGAAGTGGTAAACGTCTGAGACCTGCATCACTTCGGGCTTTCCTCCCACATTAAAGGGGAAGTGTACACGCAAAAATCACTTTCTTTCTTTTTCTAAACAAAACGCAATTTTAGAATTAATTAGTATCTGTGTTTGAAAATATACACTCATTTTTTTCACAGTGAAAGTAGGAAGCTCACAATAGTGTGAAAATGATATGCCGTTATGAGGCCTTCGTTTTTCGAGCTAAACAGGCCTGAGTTATCCCCCTTAGATTATGACGTAATTGGTGCCAATTCAACTGGGTCCCTGTCTATTCTCAACGCAAAAGATATCAAGTACCAGTTTGCAGTAAAACAACATGGCCTACGACACACTCCGGCGCAGTGGTGACTCAGCATAACACTATGCTGGCTGGCATCTGAGACGCTAGAATCACACACCTAGACCTACATCACGTGAAGCGGCTCCAACAAAGCATGATGACGTCATAATGTTTATCAATTGGCACCAATGACGTCATATTGCAAGGGGCATAAGCCATGGTGTTTTTGTTGTGGAAATAGAACACTTGGTAAATGTGAAAAATATAAATCGTTTTAATGCGAAAAATATGTTAATTAATTGTGATATTTTTATATTTTTGTCTATGACACTTCTAGGTTAACACTTTTAATGTGGAAAAAGTACAAGAAAAATAGGTTAATTTCCGTATGAACTTGCCCTTTAAGCTGACGCGCCGCGATATAACTGGAATATTGTTAAAAGCGGCGTTAAACCCAACTCACTCACTCACCCAATGAGAATCGGGTTGTGGCTTGATGTCGATTACTGACGTGCCCCCGTGCTACGTGAATATCACTGACTGGGGCACAATACACCATTCACTCGGACAGCTGTATTTAAGAAAAAAAATAAACGACGAGTGGGAGTTGTTTGTCGTACGATAACGATGACGTCATGATAGAACAATCTTTTATCGTGAAATAAACAAGTTTCGGTCTTCATTGTTCTTTGGGATTTATCGCATAGCTATCTTATATTTACTGGGGGCACGGGTGGCACAGTCGTCTAAAGCGCCGCGATTCGCTGTGCAGAGTTGCGTCCCTTGGGTATGCCAGAAACCTATAATTGTGGGTTCGAATCCCGGTTCGCCCCGATTATGTTTCTAGGTTTGTCAGCACAATACCTGTGCTCGTGGGTTTCACCGAAGTGGTAAAACTCTCAGACCTGCATCAGTTTTTAAACACGTCGCGATATAACTGGAATACTGTTAAAAGCGGCTTTAAGACCAACTCACTCACTCACTCTTATATTTACTAGGATATGTAGTATCACATCAACAAAAGACATGGCGTCCAAAATTAGACTGCAAAGTCACCAGACATTTCAAATTCTTATCTATGCTGAAGAACTGTAGGAAAAAGAATTAAATTGATTATGGACCATTAGGTGAGTGAGTGAGTAAGTTGGGTTTAACGCCGCTTTTAACAGTATTACAGTTACAGTGATCTACGTGGTATTGGCAAATGGAAATGATCATGTCTGCTGTGGAGTAGATGATCACATATGATGGGTTCTAATGGTTGGTGTCATGAGATGGTGGCGTACTAGGTCGTTAAAGAGGTCGGCGGACAAATTCGAAATTTGCAGCCAACGTCACTAATATCGGGTAAAAACCTTCGAGGCATGCTTGTGATAAGTCGACGAATGTCAGATTTACTCATGTTGTTCCACTCCCTTTTGGAGCTTGATTTCTTTGGAAATGTTCTTGCCACCTAGATCACGTACTTTCAGAGCCACACATTGGTATATTTTGCTCTAGTTTCACCTCAAGCAAACATACCCCTTACTTTTATTTCATATGTGAACAAACCATAAAACATACTCAAGATGACAGACTAGATTTTTATTCATCATGAAAGCGCAATAAAACCATTATCTTACATAGAAGTAAACATTTGTTATTATCTTATATGGAAGTAAAGTACTGGGTAATTATACCTTTATCTTATCTAGAAATAAAGTAGTGGATAATTATATCATTATCTTATCTAGAAGTAGAATACTGGGTAATTATACCATTATCTTATATAGAAGTAAAATACTCGGTAATTATACCATTATCTTACATAGAAGTAAACAATTGTTATTATCTGATATGGAAGTAAAGTACTGGGTAATTATACCTTATCTTATCTAGAAATAAAGTACTGGATAATTATATCATTATCTTATCTAGAAGTAGAATACTGGATAATTATACCATTATCTTATATAGAGGTAGAATACTGGGTAATTTTACCATTATCTAAAATAGAAGTAGAATACTGGGCACTTATACCATTATCCCATCTAAAAGTAGAATACTGGGTAATTATACCATTATCTTATATTGAAGTAAAGAACTGCTATTAACTGATATGGAAGTAAAGTCCTGGGCAATTATACCATAATTTTATCTAAAAGTAAAGTACTGGGTAATTATACCATTATCTTATATTGAAGTAAAGAACTGCTATTAACTGATATGGAAGTAAAGTCCTGGGCAATTATACCATAATTTTATCTAAAAGTAAAGTACTGGGTAACTATACCATTATGTTTTATAGAAGTAGGATACTTGATAGTTATGCTATTATCTTATCCAGAAGTAAAGTACTGGGTAATTTTACCATTATGTTATATAGAAGTAGGATACCATTAACGTATCCAGAAGTAGTCCTGGGTAATTATACCATTATCTTATCTAGAAACAGAATACTGGGCAATTATACCTTTATCTTATATAGAAGTAGAATACTGGATAATTATACCATTATCTATAAAAGAATAGAACACTGGATAATTATATCATTATCTGGTCTAAAAGTAAAGTACCTGGCAATAACATCATTTTTTTTATCTAGAAGTAAAATACTGGATAACTATACTGTTATCCCATCTAAAAGTAGAATACTGGGTAATTGTACCATATCGTCACGATATGGCTGAAATATTGCCGATGTGACGTTAAACTTTAACTCACTCACTCAATTATACCATAATCTTGTATAGAAGTAGAATACTGGATAATTATACCATTATCTTATCTGGAAGTGAAGTACTGGGTAATTAAGCCATTATCTTTTCTGCAAGTGGAATACTTTGTCATTATACCATAAGCTCATAGAACATCAGAATCCATACCAAATGCCACATTACCATATTTGTTCCTAATCAAAGGTCATCTCTGCCAAAAGCAGTGTACGTTGTACGATTGCGACTATGACACGCGGTTTTTATTGTCATGGTGGGGCGGTCGGGTAGCCTAGTGGTTAAAGCGTTCGCTCGTCACGCCGAAGACCCGGGTTCAATTCCGACATGGGTACAATGTGTGAAGCCCATTTCTGGTGTCCCCCGTCGTGATATTGCTGGAATATTGCTAAAAGCGGCGTAAAACCATACTCACTCACTCACTATTGTCATGGTATTAGAGAAATGATACTCTCATGCGCATTTAGGTCATTACCTGTTTTCAAAGTCTCCGATTTTCGTTTGACAACATTCATGACATGAATATCCATGTCCTCAGCACACGTGTAATACAGAAGTCCAGAATAATATAACATGTCAACCATTCGACACTGGAGTGACACGATCTTAGATACCTTTCCCGTTGTGATCAACATTTGATACATATTTCGTCCCCAGTTATAATACAAGACGTTTTCATCCACATCAAACGCTAGTTGACCTTTGCCTGAGGATTCTACACGGAAATGTCCAGTAGACCTTCCCGTGTATCTACCAAAAAAGATCTTATGGGGCATGGCTATAAAAAATTTCTTTCTGGTTGAGTCTACAACCATATCTGAAGTGGTAGCCGATGGGGCAGTGGAAACAGCTGCGAATGAACTGCCATCAGTTTTCATCCTAATGATGTCGATCCCTTCGAAAAGATAGAAGACACTGTCCTCGTGTGAGACACCAACTGCAAATATGTACTTGTTGACATCATCAACGGCGATGTGATAATTAAGACGCCCTTGATTTATAATCGTTTCTTCTCCACTGTTTACATTGATAGCAATCAAGTCCCCCTTTCCTTGCGCGACAACGATCGCCTTGAGGCTGGAACTGTAGGCTATGTCAAGTATCTCCTCGTTCTCTCCACCCCATAGTGCAAGTCTCTGTCCTGAATTGTTCATAATGTTGAATTTATAGAATGGGGCTTTTAGGCGCTCGGCAGAGGGGGCTATCAGTAGGCTAGTCCTCACATCCGGGTTCCATTTCCCCGCACCATAGATGCCTAGAACGCAAATAGCAAATCGGTATTATGGCCGTGGTCATAAAAAATAATCTTACAGCAGATTATTTGGTTTCTTTAAGCAATTCGAGACATTTATTTCCAGATATTTAATATACGGAAACGTGCGAGGGTGACAATATATTTATCATATTTCTATATTCTTAAAATATTGGGTGGTTAAGACCTTATTTCAAGCAATGAGGTAGCTTTAGAAAGCGCGTATGAATACAGTGTTTGATTAAACCGCCCAACTTATCAAATAGTGCCAAATGACTTGCAGCCATGTTTGTCTACAGACCCAGAGCGAGACACTGGAAAACCCCTAAACGAGCATATTAAGGTTAATTGAGAAAGAAGGCGTGGTTCATAGTGAAGCTTGAAAGTAGTTCCTGGCAGGCGGTTACATATGCATATTTTTCGGGTCCTGACACCAAGTTTATCGCATTGGTTTATCGTATTGAGAACGCTATTTATTACATGTCAAAACGTTTTTTGTGCTGTGTAAAACCTGAGGAGATAAGGATTTTCGTAAAAAAAATTGTCGGTTTTTTATTTAATTACAGCCTCCCGATCCCCTTCAGCATAGTGGGAGTGTTGCCTGCCCTAAATGCCTTAAATAACCGGACAAGAACAAAACACTTTTTACTGCGGAGTTACCAATAAGAGCCCCCTATTTCTAATTTTGAGAGCGCCCTGGGCGCTTATTATATCGAATACGGTATTTCAAACTCATTTAGGGTACAAACATATTTAGGCACCAAAACGCGTTTAAATAACAGGACAAGAACAAAACACTTTTTACTGCGGAGTTACCAATAAGATCCCCCTATTTCTAATTTTGAGAGCGCCCTGGGCGCTTATTATGTCGAATACGGTATATCTTTCTACTTACGTTCCGCACATTGCAATCCTCTATTCCTGCTGTGTACGAGTCGGGAATACTGCTGGCAGCTTGTGGTTGTTGCATCCATAACACTACCACGCTGGAGGTACAACGTACAACTTCAATACAGTAAACTACGGTTATAACGAACACGCTTATAACGAACTGACCGATATAACGAACTTATTTTTTAGTCCCGGCCATTTGTTGTATATATGCTGTATATATACTAAAACGAACTCGGGCGGTCGGGTAGCCTAGTGGTTAAAGCGTTCGCTCGTCACGCTGAAGACTCGGGTTCGATTCCCGACATGGGTACAATGTGTGAATTCCATTTCTGGTGTCCCCCGCCGTGATATTGCTGGAATATTGCTAAAAGCGGCGTAAAACCATACTCACTCACTCACTTATAACGAACTACGGTTATAACGAACCAAAATTAGTGGTCCCTTTGAGTTCGTTATAACCGTAGTTTACTGTACATTGTTTACTACTGCACATAGGGTTCTCAAGTGGAACAATATATAATTATATTGCTTGCAGAATATACCACTGTGACTCACACACTTTTAGATTCGATATCTGTACGTTTCCTTCTGAACTGAATGTATCTAAATATCTAAATAGAAAACAGTAGGCTTCAGCCTTAACAAGGTGAGGTGAAATAGGGTGAAACGTCGCGTCCAAGATTATTGCACTTATATAGCGACGTACATGTACGTGTGTGTGTGTGTGTGTGTGTGTGTGTGTTGTGTGTGTGTGTGTGTGGCTGCTTGTACCAGTCCGGACTGATGCCGATTTATAGTGCTAGCACACTGAGATACCATGCTGCAGTTTAACATGAATACCACACTCAGACACAGTATACTGACTCCGAGCCGACCTATCCTTGTTTTAGCCCCTTATTGCCGAGTGCCAGACAGGGTAACAACAAGTACCCTCTTTAAACGTCTTTTGGTATGACGCGGCTGGGGATCGAACCCCGGACCTTCCGCTCTAACGGCCCGACGCTCTCCCACCAGACCACGGAGGCCGAACATGACCACCCGGTGAAGTTTAGTCGCTTAATATGACAAGCTGGGATATTTCACCTGATACCCCTCCGTCTCATTATCTGACCAAATACGAAGTATATCTCCCGATTGGGTCAGTTACACATATAGAATAGGTGGGGGGCACGGGTGGCCAAGTCGTCTAAGGCGCCGCGATTCCCTGTGCAGAAATGCGTCCCTTGGGCACGCCAGAAACCTATGATTGTGGTTTCGAATCCCGGTTCGCCCCGATTATGTTTCTAGGTTTGTCAGCACAATACCCGTGCTCGTGGGTTTCACTGAAGTGGTAAACGTCTGAGATCTGCATCACTTCGGGCTTTACTCCCACATTAAGCTGACACGCCGCGATATAACTGGAAGACTGTTAAAAGCGGCGTTAAACCCAACTCACTCACTCACTCACTCACTCACTCACTCACTATAGAATAGGTCTTGAGCTTGGTTGCTTGCCTTAAGAGGCGACTAACGGATCGGGTAGTCAGGCTCGCTGACTTGGTTGATGCATGTCATCGTATTCCATTTACGTAGATCGATGCTCATGATGTCAATCACTGGATTGTCTGATCAAGACTCGATAATTTACAGACCGCCGTAATATAGCTGAAATATTGCTGAGTGAGGCGTTAAACAACAAACAAACAAACAAAACAAACATATTTACCAAGGTTGTAGTTTCAGGGAGAGTCTGTTCATCATCAGCTTTGGTGTAATTTCTGTCACCAGTTACTCGGCAAGATAACTTGTCCGCTGAATAGAAGCACAATGTCTGTCCTTCTATTTGGTTGCAAAACTGTTCACACATTTTTGGTCCGAACGGCTGTTTGCGTATTTCAAGCATAGTGACGACAATTGGCAGAAGGAGCGAGACATACACCTCAAACTACATATTTAATCCTAAATCGGAACCTGAAAAGATATTTAGTTACACTTAAAGCAGGTTTGGGTTAAGGTTTATCAGCAGTTTTGTCACCTTGATATGCATTTCAATTATGTAGTCACTTATCACGTCAGGGGCGGTCGGGTAGTCTAGTGGTTAAAGCGTTCGCTCGTCACGCCGAAGACCCGGGTTCGATTCCCGACATGGGTACAATGTGTGAAGCCCATTTCTGGTGTCCCCCGCCGTGATATTGCTGGAATATTGCTAAAAGCGGCGTAAAACCAAACTCACTCACTCACTATCACGTCAGGGGCGGTCGGGTCGCCTTGTGGTAAAAGGGTTCGCTCGTCACGCCAAAGACCCGGGTTCGATTCCCGACATGGGTACAATGTGTGAAGCCCCTTTCTGGTGTCCCCCGCCGTGATATTGCTGGAATATTGCTAAAAGCGGCGTAAAACCAAACTCACTCACTATCACGTCAGGGGCGGTCGGGTCGCCTTGTGGTAAAAGGGTTCGCTCGTCACGCCAAAGACCCGGGTTCGATTCCCGACATTGGTACAATGTGTGAAGCCCATTTCTGGTGTCCCCCGCCGTGATATTGCTGGAATATTGCTAAAAGCGGCGTAAAACCATACTCACTCACTCATTAAGACTGGAACTGAGGTTAGGCCCGCAGGAGCGAAACCAAACTAACCCTATTTCTGAAAGACGGTCAGCTGATAGAATTTCCTTACCGAAACAGCCAGTAAAATATTATCAATTTCTGAAAGCAGAAAACTAAAAATTATCAGAACAAAACAGATACAGTATCGATATACAACAAACATGTTACCAACAGTACCCACACCCAGGAGTCTCAAAGAGGTGCAGGTCAGCCGAATTTGTCAAGGCAGAAGGCGACGTTCTTTAACACTTGATTTGTGCCAACACAACAAGCAATGATAGAATGCAACATATTTAATATACATATACATCATAATGGTTTTGGCACGAACTTGGGAGCTGACTGATTCTTATCACAGACAAGGGCTGACCGAGAGCTAGGTGCTGTCCTGGAGCCGCTATGAGGCTCGGACAGTTGTCTGCGGACCAGGGGCTGTGACCTGAGCTCTGGTGCTCGCTTATTACAAGGAGAGGGAACAACCGAGAGCTAGGTGAGGGTCCTGGGGCCGCTATGAGGCTCGGACGGTGGTCTGCGGACCGGGGCTGTGACCTGAGCTCTGGTGATAGCTTATCACAAGGAGAGGGAACGACCGAGAGCTAGGGGAGGGTCCTGGGGCCGCTATGAGGTTCGGACAGTGGTCTGCGGACCGGGGCTGCGACCTGAGCTCTGGTGCTAGCTTATTACAAGGAGAGGGAACGACCGAGAGCTAGGCGAGGGTCCTGGGGCCGCTGCTGCTCGGACGGTGGTCTGCGGACCGGGGCTGTGACCTGAGCTCTGGTGATAGCTTATTACAAGGAGAAGGAACGACCGAGAGCTAGGTGAGGGTCCTGGAGCCGCTATGAGGTTCGGACGGTGGTCTGCGGACCGGGCCTGCGACCTGACCTCTGGTGCTCGCTTATTACAAGGAGAAGGAACGACCGAGAGCTAGGTGAGGGTCCTGGAGCCGCTATGAGGCTCGGACGGTGGTCTGCGGACCGGGGCTGTGACCTGAGCTCAGGTGCTAGCTTAGTACAAGGAGAGGGAACGACCGAGAGCTAGGCGAGGGTCCTGGAGCCGCTATGATGCTCGGACGGTGGTCTGCGGACCGGGGCTGCGACCTGAGCTCTGGTTTAGACTTGGGGGAGACAAGGACACTCTAGATGAGTGGAAATAGCCCAAAGCAAGTGATTGGAAGAGTACCCCCTTACAAGAGTGAGTGCCCCCGGCAGAAGGCGACGTTCTTTAACATTTGAGTGAAGAAGTAGGAATTATTACCCTTTGCTGCGTTGGAGTAGGATATTTTTGGTCAGGCTTGTCCACAAATTCCATTAATTGGCAAAGTTACCATTTAGAAGAAAAACATCTACCCTTTTCACAATCAAATGGCATAAATAAAGCAACAAAACCCTTTCAATATCCAATAGAAATCTTTTCATAACGCGGAGTCGATTGTACGATTCCGATTTTATCATGATCATGTGTTTATGAATCACTATCAAATAGTGATGACACTAGGTGTTCGCGAAAAGGTGAGCGTATCCTGCTCCATCGGTGCCGCCCGTCACAAACACATGCGAAGGCATGGCTTGTCAACTACACATGGCAACATGAAAGAAGCTTGAAGATGTTTTTTGGTTGTTTTTTTGTCATTAGCATTTCTTTTTTCTGGAAATATATTCGATACCAACTACCGAAGGCCAAAATGCAATGAATTGTTTTCAAAGGAAGTGCAACAACTAAGTTTAGAAAAAATTGATAATTTATCGACATACCGGATTTACTGTCAAAATGATGTCGGGAAATGTGGCTTGATTTAAACATATTTTATTCACAAAAGTGAATGGGTTTGGATACAAGTTCTCCAACTTAAGATACCTTCTCCCAGATATTTACACTATTGATTTACAGCTTGTACTAAACATGAACGGAACAGACGCAAAGAATAGAATAGGAAAGAAAAGTGAACAGTGAGAAAAATTTAGTTTACATAAATGTCTTTGTATTACGCATATAAAACTACAGTCACACTGACAATGCGACCGCGATGCAACCTCTTGGTGACTGATTTCCTTCGCGACCGACTGGCGACCGCTGAGACCGGTACAACTACTTCTGCCCATATTTGGAATTAGGGTATGATCGCCGATCAATCAGCTATAGGTTTTGCACTGATTGATCGACAACTGTTCACCACAGATACGGCGAAATGTTTTGCAAATGGTTGAGACCGATCGGTGACGAGTCAGCGAATATTCGGTGACTTGGACCTCAGTCCAATATTGCACACCATCCTTACCTCAGTCCAATATTGCACACCACTTTTAGCTCAGTCCAATATTGCACACCACCCTCACCTCAGTCCAATTTTGCACACCACCCTTACCTCAGTCAAATATCACATACCACCCTTACCTCAGTCCAATATTGCACACCACCCTTACCTCAGTCCAATATTGCACACCACCCTTACCTCAGTCCAATATTACACACCACCTTTACCTCAGTCCAATATTGCACACCACCTTTACCTCAGCCCAATATTGCACACCACTCTTACCTCAGTCCAATATTGCACACCACCCTTAGCTCAGCCCAATATTGCACACCACCTTTACCTCAGTCCAATATTGCACACCACCCTTACCTCAGGCCAATATTGCACACCACCTTTACCTCAGTCCAATATTGGACACCACCCTTTCCTCAGTCCAATATTGCACACCACTTTTACCTCAGTCCAATATTACACACCACTTTTACCTCAGTCCAATATTGCTCACCACCCTTACCTCAGTCCAATATTGCACACCACCCTTACCTCAGTCAAATATTACACACCACTTTTACCTCAGCCCAATATTGCACACCACCCTCACCTCAGTCCAATATTGCTCACCACCCTTACCTCAGTCCAATATTGCACACCACTTTTACCTCAGTCCAATATTACACACCACTTTTACCTCAGCCCAATATTGCACACCACCCTTACCTCAGTCCAATATTGCACACCACTTTTACCTCAGTCCAATATTACACACCACTTTTACCTCAGTCCAATATTGCACACCACCCTTACCTCAGTCCAATATTGCACACCACCCTTACCTCAGTCCAATATTACACACCACTTTTACCTCAGTCCAATATTGCACACCACCCTTACCTCAGTCCAATATTGGACACCACCCTTACCTCAGCCCAATATTGCACACCACCCTTACCTCAGTCCAATATTACATACCACCCTTACCTCAATCCAATATTGCACACCACTTTTACCTCAGTCCAATATTGCACACCACCCTCACCTCAGTCCAATATTGAACACCACCCTTACCTCAGCCCAATATTGCACACCACCCTTACCTCAGTCCAATATTGCACACCACCCTTACCTCAGTCCAATATTGCTCACCACTTTTACCTCAGTCCAATATTGGACACCACTTTTACCTCAGTCCAATATTGGACACCACCCTTACCTCAGTCCAATATTGCACACCACCCTTATCTCAGTCCAATATTGCACACCATCCTCACCTCAGTCCAATATTGCACACCACCCTTACCTCAGTCAAATATTACATACCACCCTTACCTCAGTCCAATATTGCACACCACCCTTACCTCAGTCCAATATTGCACACCACCTTTACCTCAGTCCAATATTACACACCACCTTTACCTCAGTCCAATATTGCACACCACCCTTGCCTCAGTCCAATATTGCACACCACCTTTACCTCAGTCCAATATTGCACACCACCTTTACCGCAGTCCAATATTACACACCACTTTTACCTCAGTCCACGTTTGCACACCACCCTTACCTCAGTCCAATATTACACACCACCTTTACCTCAGTCCAAAATTACACTCCACCTTTACCTCAGTCCAATATTCCACACCACCTTTACCTCAGTCCAATATTGCACACCACCCTTACCTCAGTCCAATATTACACACCACCTTTACCGCAGTCCAATATTACACACCACCTTTACCGCAGTCCTAAATTACACACCACCTTTACCTCAGTCCAATTTTATACACCACCCTTACCTCAGTCCAATATTGCACACCACCTTTACCGCAGTCCTAAATTACACACCACCCTTACCTCAGTCCAATATTGCATACCACCCTTACCTCAGTCCAATATTACACACCACCCTTACCTCAGTCCAATATTACACACCACTCTTACCTCAGTCCAATATTACACACCACCTTTACCGCAGTCCAATATTACACACCACCTTTACCGCAGTCCAAGATTACACACAACCTTTACCGCAGTCCAATATTACACACCACCTTTACCTCAGTCCAATATTACACACCACCTTTACCGCAGTCCAATATTACACACCACCTTTACCTCAGTCCAATATTACACACCACCTTTACCTCTGTCCAATATTACACACCACCTTTACCTCAGTCCAATATTACACACCACCCTTACCTCAGTCCAGTATAACACACCACCCTTACCTCAGTCCGATGTTGCACCCCAGCTTTCTCCTCGTCAAGTGACACTGCGACAGACTGGATGTTGTTGGTGTCCAGTAATGTAGACATTATGCATCATGCTAAGATACTTTTCTGATCACACCTTTTAGCTACATATCATGCTACTCAGAGTGACACTGCACAATTAGGATGAGTGTCTTGGTCGGTGTTAAATGACCTGCAATGTACATGGAGAAGGGGTTCCACTTCTGTGTCTACTTCTCTTGTAAAATATACATGAATATGTGAACGTCTTAACACACCACCTAATTGCAATCTTCAGACAGGTAAGCACTTCTTATTTATGTCATCAACAGACAGGTAAGCACTTCCTTGTTGTCATCAACAGACAGGTAAGCACTTCCTTGTTGTCATCAACAGGCAGGTAAGCACTTCCTTGTTGTCATCAACAGACAGGTAAGCACCTCCTTGTTGTCATCAACAGACAGGTAAGCACTTCCTTGTTGTCATCAACAGACAGGTAAGCACTTCCTTGTTGTCATCAACAGACAGGTTAGCACTTCCTTGTTGTCATCAACAGACAGGTAAGCACTTCTTTGTTTTCATCAACAGACAGGTAAGCACTTCTTTGGTATGTAATCAACAGACAGGTAAGCACTTCTTTGTTGTCATCAACAGACAGGTAACCACTTCTTTGTTATGTCATCAACAGACAAGTAAGCACATCCTTGTTGTCATCAACAGACAGGTAAGCACTTCTTTGTTATGTCATCAACAGACAGGTAAGAACGTCTTTGTTTTGACATCAACAGACAGGTAACCACTTCTTTGTTCTCATCAACAGACAAGTAAACACTTCCTTGTTGTCATCAACAGACAGGTAAGCACTTCCGTGTTGTCATCAACAGACAGGTAAGCACTTCCTTGTTGTCATCAACAGACAGGTAAGCACTTCTTTGTTGTCATCAACAGACAGGTAAGCACTTCTTTGGTATGTAATCAACAGACAGGTAAGCACTTCTTTGTTGTCGCCAGACAATCCAGTGAATAATATCATGAGCATCGATCCATGCATCAACCAAGTCAGCGAGCCTGACCACCCGATCCCGTCAGCTGCCTCTTGCGACGAGCACAGTCGCATTTTACGGCAAGCATGGGTTGCTGAAGACCTATTCTACCCCGGATCTTTACGGGTCATTTCGCTGATAAAAACGGTTGTGAAGATAATATGAAGGTTTATCTCACACTGCCTACAACTACATGCATGAAATCCGAATTTGTCGTATCAGACACAACATGAGTGAGTGAGTGAGTGAGTGAGTATGGTTTTACGCCGCTTTTAGCATTATTCCAGCAATATCACGGCGGGGGACACCAGAAATGGGCTTCACACATTGTACCCATGTCGGGAATCGAAACCGGGTCTTCGGCGTGACGAGCGAACGCTTTAACCACTAGGCTACCCGACCGCCCCGACACAACATGAAGCTATTCCTCATTACGTATTGCCCCAAATAAGTAACATACGTTTATAAAAGAAATTAGTTTTGTGTTGATAGGTATTTTGTAATATGAAATTCGTATGATGACTTGACTTGTATCATATGTTGCCGTGACGAGTGTTGGCACTTGGCACACCAGGTTCACGGCGCATATATAATTTTAGTCGCCGTTCTATCAGATATGCATACATTGGCATGGCTTTGTCCCAATGGGGGTGGTCGGGTAGTCTGGTGGTTAAAGCGTTCGTTCGTCACGCCGAAGACCCGGGTTCGATTCCCGACATGGGTATTATGTGTGAAGCCCTTTTCTGGTGTCCCCTGCCGTGATATTGCTGGAATATTGCTAAAAGCGGTGTAAAACCATACTCACTCACTCACTCACTCACTCACTCACTTGCATCCAAAGTAGCAAGTTGCCCAACTCCCCATTGGTCTCGGTGCCTTCGTTCTGGTACCTTCCAATCTGTTGACTGACATTTGGGAGTGTACCCGGGTTTGCTACCAGGAATACAACCCTTCTGACAATATGGCAACTATTTACTAAAAACACATATATAAATAGTTCTTCCCAGTACACAAAAACACAACTTTTTCAAAATTTACTTTTTCAAAATGTAGGCTTTCCTTACCACTATCAGAAAAACACTTCAATATTTCAAATAATTTGAGTAAAACATGTTGTTTATGCGATTCCTGTTTCCACGCCCATTACTGACAGCCATCATCGTTGGTATGGCGTGTCACAGTCTCCTCACCCGCATCACCATCGTCGTGGATGGTGGCGTAATGGTCGGCAGGGGTGTCACTGAAACACGTCAACCATACTCGTAACGTTACGCCCTCGTAGTCACAGGATTAATTACCGGGTTAGTCATGCTATAAGCACAATTGTGCTACAATACACGTCTTAAAAATATGCACAATGCCTTTCCTATTTAAGAGTGAGTTGGGTTTAACGCCGCTTTTAACAGTATTCCAGTCATATCACGGCGTGTCAGCTTAATATGGGAGGTAAGCCCGAAGTGATGCAGGTCTCAGACGTTTCTAGGTTTGTCAATCATAGGTTTGGCGTGCCTAAGAGACGCAACTCTGCACAGCGAATCGCGGCGCCTTAGACGACTGGGCCACCCATGCCCCCTCCTATTTAAGAAATGACTTGGGGCGGTCGAGTAGTCTAGTGGTTAAAGCGTTCGCTCGTCACGCCGAAGACCCGGGTTCGATTCCCGACATGGGTACAATGTGTGAAGCCCATTCATGGTGTCACCCGCCGTGGTCTTGCTGGAATATTGCTTAAAGCGGCGTAAAACCATACTCACTCACTCACTAAGAACTGACTTCAATTATATTTGCGTTTAATGAGTTACAAACGTAAAAACTCGCCTATTTGATGTGTAATTAGGCAAAGTGCTCACACCTGTTTGTACGTTTATTTAAGAACTAAACGACTCGTTGTCGTGCGGATATGAATTCTTCGTTAATGGTCAATCCATTACACTTCTAGATCCGGGGTAGAATAGGTCTTCAGCAATCCTTGCTTGCCGTAAAAGGCGACTGTGCTTGCCGTAAGAGGCGACTAGCGGGATAGGGCGGTCAGGCTCGCTGACTTGGTTGATGCGTGTCAACATATCCCAATTGTGTGGATCGATGCTCATGATGTCAATTACTGGATTGTCTGGTCCAGACTCGATTATTAACAGACCGCCGTCATATAGCTGGAATATTGCTGCGTCCGTCGTTAAACAACAAACAAACAAACATTACACGTTTCATTAGTCCGGAGGAGGTGATTTTACGCTAGTCACACATGTAACTTTCTAACCTGTGTTACAGGCACACCCTTGGCAGCCGTCGGACCCGAGTTTGAATCCCAATTGACAGTGGATGAGACACATCACCCCCAAACATGCCTTGCTCTTCTCAGCCGGTGAAGCTGAAACAGAGTCCCAGTTGACAGTAGAAGTTCCCTAAAGAGACACCAAACAATCGGCCAAATTGTTTGGGCTTCGTAACAACAAAACCCAAATGTTTCCCACGAAACTGCATAGTATCAACGACACGTGGTGTAGCTGTCTTATGTCATCTGCATAGGGAGATGTCAGCACGATCTCCAAGGTACTGCAAGATGTTTTGAGTATATATTATGTCTCTTCTATTTTGCAGGTGCTCTTGTTACCTCTGTCAAGGTTAATGAGGTACTTAACATGGTTGTTAGCTCTGTCAAGGTTAATGAGGTACTTAACATTGTTGTTAGCTCTGTCAAGGTTAATGAGGTACTTAACATTGTTGTTAGCCCTGTCAGGGTTAATGAGGTATATAACATTGTTGTTAGCCCTGTCAAGGTTAATGAGGTATATAACATTGTTGTTAGCTCTGTCAAGGTTAATGAGGTACATAACATTCTTGTTAGCCCTGTCAAGGTTAATGGGGTACTTAACATTGTTGTTAACTCTGTCAGGGTTAATGAGGTACTTAACATTGTTGTTAACTCTGTCAAGGTTAATGAGGTATATAACATTGTTGTTAGCCCTGTCAAGGTTAATGAGGTATATAACATTGTTGTTAGCTCTGTCAAGGTTAATGAGGTACATAACATTGTTGTTAGCTCTGTCAAGGTTAATGAGGTACATAACATTGTTGTAAGCCCTGTCAAGGTTAATGAGGTATATAACATTGTTGTTAGCTCTGTCAAGGTTAATGAGGTACATAACATTGTTGTTAGCTCTGTTAGGGTTAATGAGGTACTTAACATTGTTGTTAACTCTGTCAAGGTTAATGAGGTATGTAACATTGTTGTTAGCATGTCAAGGTTAATGAGGTATATAACATTGTTGTTAGCTCTGTCAAGGTTAATGAGGTACTTAACATTGTTGTTAACTCTGTCAAGGTTAATGAGGTATGTAACATTGTTGTTAGCATGTCAAGGTTAATGAGGTATATAACATTGTTGTTAGCCCTGTCAAGGTTAATGAGGTATATAACATTGTTGTTAGCTCTGTCAAGGGTAATGAGGTACATAACATTGTTGTTAGCTCTGTCAAGGTTAATGAGGTACATAACATTGTTGTTAGTTCTGTCAAGGTTAATGAGGTATATAACATTGTTGTTAGCTCTGTCAAGGGTAATGAGGTACATAACATTGTTGTTAGCTCTGTCAAGGTTAATGAGGTACATAACATTGTTGTTAGCTCTGTCAAGGGTAATGAGGTACATAACATTGTTGTTAGCTCTGTCAAGGGTAATGAGGTACATAACATTGTTGTTAGCTCTGTCAAGGTTAATGAGGTACATAACATTGTTGTTAGCTCTGTCAATGTTAATGAGGTACATAACATTGCTGTTAGCTCTGTCAAGGGTAATGAGGTACATAACATTGTTGTTAACTCTGTCAATGTTAATGAGGTACATAACATTGTTGTTAGCTCTGTCAAGTTTAATGAGGTACATAACATTGTTGTTATCTCTGTCAAGGTTAATGAGGTACATAACATTGTTGTTAGCTCTGTCAATGTTAATGAGGTACATAACATTGTTGTTAGCTCTGTCAAGGGTAATGAGGTACATAACATTGTTGTTAACTCTGTCAATGTTAATGAGGTACTTAACATTGTTGTTAGCTCTGTCAAGTTTAATGAGGTACATAACATTGTTGTTAGCTCTGTCAAGGTTAATGAGGTACATAACATTGTTGTTAGCTCTGTCAAGGGTAATGAGGTACATAACATTGTTGTTAGCTCTGTCAATGTTAATGAGGTACATAACATTGTTGTTAGCCCTGTCAACGTTAATGAGGCACTTAACATTGTTGTTAGCTCTGTCAAGGTTAATGAGGTACTTAACATTGTTGTTAACTCTGTCAAGGTTAATGAGGTATATAACATTGTTGTTAGCCCTGTCAAGGTTAATGAGGTAGATAACATTGTAACAGACAGGTTAGCACTTCCTTGTTGTCATCAACAGACAGGTAACCACTTCTTTGGTATGTAATCAACAGACAGGTAAGCACTTCTTTGTTGTCATCAACAGACAGGTAACCACTTCTTTGTTATGTCATCAACAGACAAGTAAGCACATCCTTGTTGTCATCAACAGACAGGTAAGCACTTCTTTGTTATGTCATCAACAGACAGGTAAGAACGTCTTTGTTTTGACATCAACAGACAGGTAACCACTTCTTTGTTCTCATCAACAGACAAGTAAACACTTCCTTGTTGTCATCAACAGACAGGTAAGCACTTCCGTGTTGTCATCAACAGACAGGTAAGCACTTCCTTGTTGTCATCAACAGACAGGTAAGCACTTCTTTGTTGTCATCAACAGACAGGTAAGCACTTCTTTGGTATGTAATCAACAGACAGGTAAGCACTTCTTTGTTGTCGCCAGACAATCCAGTGAATAATATCATGAGCATCGATCCAGCGAGCCTGACCACCCGATCCCGTCAGTTGCCTCTTGCGACGAGCACAGTCGCATTTTACGGCAAGCATGGGTTGCTGAAGACCTATTCTACCCCGGATCTTTACGGGTCATTTGGCTGATAAAAACGGTTGTGAAGATAATATGAAGGTTTATCTCACACTGCCTACAACTACATGCATGAAATCCGAATTTGTCGTAGAAGACACAACATGAGTGAGTGAGTGAGTGAGTATGGTTTTACGCCGCTTTTAGCATTATTCCAGCAATATCACGGCGGGGGACACCAGAAATGGGCTTCACACATTGTACCCATGTCGGGAATCGAAACCGGGTCTTCGGCGTGACGAGCGAACGCTTTAACCACTAGACTACCCGACCGCCCCGACACAACATGAAGCTATTCCTCATTACGTATTGCCCCAAATAAGTAACATACGTTTATAAAAGAAATTAGTTTTGTGTTGATAGGTATTTTGTAATATGAAATTCGTATGATGACTTGACTTGTATCATATGTTGCCGTGACGAGTGTTGGCACTTTGCACACCAGGTTCACGGCGCATATATAATTTTAGTCGCCGTTCTATCAGATATGCATACATTGGCATGGCTTTGTCCCAATGGGGGTGGTCGGGTAGTCTGGTGGTTAAAGCGTTCGTTCGTCACGCCGAAGACCCGGGTTCGATTCCAGACATGGGTAGTATGTGTGAAGCCGTGATATTGCCGGAATATTGCTAAAAGCGGCGTAAAACCATACTCATTCGCTCACTCACTCACTCACTCACTTGCATCCCAAGTAGCAAGTTGCCCGACTCCCCATTGGTCTCGGTGCCTTCGTTCTGGTACCTTCCAATCTGTTGACTGACATTTGGGAGTGTACCCGGGTTTGCTACCAGGAATACAACCCTTCTGACAATATGACAACTATTTACTAAAAACACATATATAAATAGTTCTTCCCAGTACACAAAAACACAACTTTTTCAAAATTTACTTTTTCAAAATGTAGGCTTTCCTTACCACTATCAGAAAAACACTTCAATATTTCAAATAATTTGAGTAAAACATGTTGTTTATGCGATTCCTGTTTCCACGCCCATTACTGACAGCCATCATCGTTGGTATGGCGTGTCACAGTCTCCTCACCCGCATCACCATCGTCGTGGATGGTGGCGTAATGGTCGGCAGGGGTGTCACTGAAACACGTCAACCATACTCGTAACGTTACGCCCTCGTAGTCACAGGATTAATTACCGGGTTAGTCATGCTGTAAGCACAATTGTGCTACAATACACGTCTTAAAAATATGCACAATGCCTTTCCTATTTAAGAGTGAGTTGGGTTTAACGCCACTTTTAACAGTATTCCAGTCATATCACGGCGTGTCAGCTTAATATGGGAGGTAAGCCCGAAGTGATGCAGGTGTCAGACGTTTCTAGGTTTGTCAATCATAGGTTTGGCGTGCCTAAGAGACGCAACTCTGCACAGCGAATCGCGGCGCCTTAGACGACTGGGCCACCCATGCCCCCTCCTATTTAAGAAATGACTTGGGGCGGTCGAGTAGTCTAGTGGTTAAAGCGTTCGCTCGTCACGCCGAAGACCCGGGTTCGATTCCCGACATGTGTACAATGTGTGAAGCCCATTCATGGTGTCACCCGCCGTGGTCTTGCTGGAATATTGCTTAAAGCGGCGTAAAACCATACTCACTCACTCACTAAGAACTGACTTCAATTATATTTGCGTTTAATGAGTTACAAACGTAAAAACTCGCCTATTTGATGTGTAATTAGGCAAAGTGCTCACACCTGTTTGTACGTTTATTTAAGAACTAAACGACTCGTTGTCGTGCGGATATGAATTCTTCGTTAATGGTCAATCCATTACACTTCTAGATCCGGGGTAGAATAGGTCTTCAGCAATCCTTGCTTGCCGTAAAAGGCGACTGTGCTTGCCGTAAGAGGCGACTAGCGGGATAGGGCGGTCAGGCTCGCTGACTTGGTTGATGCGTGTCAACATATCCCAATTGTGTGGATCGATGCTCATGATGTCAATTACTGGATTGTCTGGTCCAGACTCGATTATTAACAGACCGCCGTCATATAGCTGGAATATTGCTGCGTCCGTCGTTAAACAACAAACAAACAAACATTACACGTTTCATTAGTCCGGAGGAGGTGATTTTACGCTAGTCACACGTGTAACTTTCTAACCTGTGTTACAGGCACACCCTTGGCAGCCGTCGGACCCGAGTTTGAATCCCAATTGACAGTGGATGAGACACATCACCCCCAAACATGCCTTGCTCTTCTCAGCCGGTGAAGCTGAAACAGAGTCCCAGTTGACAGTAGAAGTTCCCTAAAGAGACACCAAACAATCGGCCAAATTGTTTGGGCTTCGTAACAACAAAACCCAAATGTTTCCCACGAAACTGCATAGTATCAACGACACGTGGTGTAGCTGTCTTATGTCATCTGCATAGGGATATGTCAGCACGATCTCCAAGGTACTGCAAGATGTTTTGAGTATATATTATGTCTCTTCTATTTTGCAGGTGCTCTTGTTACCTCTGTCAAGGTTAATGAGGTACATAACATTGTTGTTAGCCCTGTCAAGGTTAATGAGGTATATAACATTGTTGTAAGCCCTGACAAGGTTAATGGGGTACTTAACATTGTTGTTAACTCTGTCAAGGTTAATGAGGTATATAACATTGTTGTTAGCCCTGTCAAGGTTAATGAGGTATATAACATTGTTGTTAGCTCTGTCAAGGTTAATGAGGTACATAACATTGTTGTTAGCTCTGTCAAGGTTAATGAGGTACATAACATTGTTGTAAGCCCTGTCAAGGTTAATGAGGTATATAACATTGTTGTTAGCTCTGTCAAGGTTAATGAGGTACATAACATTGTTGTTAGCTCTGTCAAGGTTAATGAGGTACATAACATTGTTGTTAGCTCTGTCAGGGTTAATGAGGTACTTAACATTGTTGTTAACTCTGTCAAGGTTAATGAGGTATATAACATTGTTGTTAGCCCTGTCAAGGTTAATGAGGTATATAACATTGTTGTTAGCTCTGTCAAGGTTAATGAGGTACATAATATTGTTGTTAGCTCTGTCAAGGTTAATGAGATACATAACATTGTTGTAAGCCCTGTCAAGGTTAATGAGGTATATAACATTGTTGTTAGCTCTGTCAAGGTTAATGAGGTACATAATATTGTTGTTAGCTCTGTCAAGGTTAATGAGGTACATAACATTGTTGTTAGCTCTGTCATGGTTAATGAGGTACATAACATTGTTGTTAGCTCTGTCATGGTTAATGAGGTACTCAACATGGTTGTTACCTCTGTCAAGGTTAATGAGGTATATAACATGGTTGTTAGCTCTGTCAAGGTTAATGAGGTACTCAACATGGTTGTTAGCCCTGTCAAGGTTAATAAGGTACATAACATTGTTGCTAGCCATGTCATGGTTAATGAGGTACATAACATTGTTGTTAGCCCTGTCAAGGTTAATGAGGTACTCAACATTGTTGCTAGCCTTGTCATGGTTAATGAGGTACTTAACATTGTTGTTAGCTCTGTCAAGGTTAATGAGGTACTCAACATGGTTGTTAGCCCTGTCAAGGTTAATGAGGTACTCAACATTATTGCTAGCCATGTCATGGTTAATGAGGTACATAACATTGTTGTTAGCCATGTCATGGTTAATGAGGTACATAACATTGTTGTTAGCTCTGTCAAGGTTGATGAGGTACTCAACATGGTTGTTACCTCTGTCAAGGTTAATGAGGTATATAACATGGTTGTTAGCTCTGTCAAGGTTAATGAGGTACTCAACATGGTTGTTAGCCCTGTCAAGGTTAATGAGGTACTCAACATTATTGCTAGCCATGTCATGGTTAATGAGGTACATAACATTGTTGTTAGCCATGTCATGGTTAATGAGGTACATAACATTGTTGTTAGCTCTGTCAAGGTTAATGAGGTACTCAACATGGTTGTTACCTCTGTCAAGGTTAATGAGGTATATAACATGGTTGTTAGCTCTGTCAAGGTTAATGAGGTACTCAACATGGTTGTTAGCCCTGTCAAGGTTAATGGGGTACTTAACATTGTTGTAAGCCCTGTCAAGGTTAATGAGGTACATAACATTGTTGTTAGCTCTGTCAAGGTTAATGAGGTATATAACATGGTTGTTAGCTCTGTCAAGGTTAATGAGGTACATAACATTGTTGTAAGCCCTGTCAAGGTTAATGAGGTACATAACATTGTTGTAAGCCCTGTCAAGGTTAATGAGGTATATAACATGGTTGTTAGCTCTGTCAAGGTTAATGAGGTACTCAACATGGTTGTTAGCCCTGTCAAGGTTAATGATGTACATAACATTGTTGCTAGCCATGTCATGGTTAATGAGGTACATAACATTGTTGTTAGCCCTGTCAAGGTTAATGAGGTACTCAACATTGTTGCTAGCCATGTCATGGTTAATGAGGTACTTAACATTGTTGTTAGCTCTGTCAAGGTTAATGAGGTACTCAACATGGTTGTTAGCCCTGTCAAGGTTAATGAGGTACTCAACATTGTTGTAAACATGATAAGGTTAATGAGGTACATAACATTGTTGTTAGCTCTGTCAAGGTTCATGAGGTACTTAACATTGTTGTTAGCTCTGTCAACGTTAATGAGGTACAGAACACGTACCATACACTGACGCCGTCAGGAGCACGACCAACATCATCAGTGCCGACAGTTTGTTTTACGACCTGTACTGGAACACCTGTGTATTCGCTTTCAGCGAGAGATAGCGCTGCACCGCCTATCTGTGGACTGCACCTTGTGTGCTAGTCACGTAATATAAACTATAAACATGAGTTGAGAACCAATCTGTCAGTCCCCCGGCAGATACATGTCAGCTTTTCTATAAACAATCGGCTTGTTGATACCTGTACTTTAAAAATAAGCGGCGCTTAAACCTCAAAGATGCATTATATTCACAATACAAAATTCCAGGCAAGGCTAAACTTGAATATGACATATTCAGTGTGATATTTGACAAAGTGGCAATTGCTTTTGGGAAGGGAGATTGTGTGTTTGATGGATTGGGTGACTATATGCATGATGGATTGTGTGACTGTGTGTGTGATTGATTGGGTGACTGTGTGTGTGATTGATTTGGTGACTGTGTGTGTGATGGATTGGTTGACTCTGTGTGATGGATTAGGTGACTGTGTGTGTGTGATGGATTGGGTGACTATATGCATGATGGATTGGGTGACTGTGTGTGTGATGGATTGTGTGACTGTGTGTGATGGATTGGGTGACTATATGCATGATGGATTGTGTGACTCTATGCATGATGGATTGGGTGACTATATGCATGATTGATTGGGTGACTATATGCATGATGGATTGGGTGACTGTGTGTGTGATGGATTTGGTGACTGTTAGTGTGATGGATTGGTTGACTCTGTGTGATGGATTAGGTGACTGTGTGTGTGATGGATTGGGTGACTATATGCATGATGGATTGGGTGACTGTGTGTGTGATGGATTGTGTGACTGTGTGTGTGATTGATTGGGTGACTGTGTGTGTGATGGATTTGGTGACTCTATGCATGATGGATTGGGTGGCTATATGCATGATGGATTGGGTGACTATATGCATGATGGATTGGGTGACTGTGTGTGATGGATTTGGTGACTGTATGGTCAATGGATTGGGTGACTGCGTTTGTGATGGATTAGATGAAGATGTGTGTGATGGATTGGGTGACTGTGTGTGTGATGGATTGGGTGACTGTGTGTGTGATGGATTGGTTGACTCTGTGTGATGGATTGGGTGACTGTGTGTGTGATGGATTGGGTGACTATATGCATGATGGATTGTGTGACTGTGTGTGTGATGGATTGGGTGGCTGTGTGATGGATTGGGTGACTGTGTGTGTGATGGATTGGGTGACTCTGTATGATGGAGTTGGTGGCTGTGTGTGTGATGCATTGGGTGACTGTGTGTATGATGGATTGGATGACTCTGTGTGATAGATTGGGTGGCTGTGTGTGATCGATTGGTCGACTCTGTGTGATGGATTGTGTGACTGTGTGTGTGATGGATTGTGTGACTGTGTGTGTGATTGATTGGGTGACTGTGTGTGTGATGAATTTGGTGACTGTGTGTGTGATGGATTGGTTGACTTTGTGTGATGGATTAGGTGACTGTGTGTGTGATGGATTGGGTGACTATATGCATGATGGATTGTGTGACTGTGTGTGTGATGGATTGTGTGACTGTGTGTGTGATGGATTGTGTGACTGTGTGTGTGATGGATTGTGTGACTGTGTGTGTGATGGATTGGGTGACTGTGTGTGTGAGGAATTTGGTGACTGTGATTGTGATGGATTGGTTGACTCTGTGTGATGGATTGGGTGACTGTGTGTGTGATGGATTGGGTGACTATATGCATGATGGATTGTGTGACTGTGTGTGTGATGGATTGGGTGACTGTGTGTGTGATGGATTGTGTGACTATATGCATGATGGATTGGGTGACTTTGTGTGATGGATTGTGTGACTGTGTGTGTGATGGATTGGGTGACTGTGTGTATGATGGATTGTGTGACTGTGTGTGTGATGGATTGTGTGACTGTGTGTGTGATGGATTGTGTGACTATATGCATGATGGATTGGGTGACTGCGTTTGTGATGGATTAGATGAAGATGTGTGTGATGGATTGGGTGACTGTGTGTGTGATGGATTGGGTGACTCTGTGTGATAGATTGGGTGGCTGTGTGATGGATTGGGTGAGTGTGTGTGTGTTGGATTGGGTGACTGTGTGATGGATTGGGTGAGTGTGTGTGTGTTGGATTGGATGAAGATGTGTGTGATGGATTGGGTAACTGTGTGTGATGGGTTAAATGAAGATGTGTGTGATGAATTGGGTGACTCTGTATGATGGATTGGGTGAGTGTGTGTGTGATGGATTGGATGAAGATGTGTGTGATGGATTGGGTAACTGTGTGTGATGGGTTAAATGAAGATGTGTGTGATGAATTGGGTGACTGCGTGTGTGACGATCCCGGGTAGAATAGGTCTTCAGCAAGCCATGCTTGCCGTAGAAGTTGACTTTGCTTGTCGTAAGAAGCGACTAACGGGATCGGGTGGTCAGGCTCGCTGACCGGGTTGATGCATGTCATCGATCAAAATTGCGTAGATCGATGCTCATGATGTCAATCACTGGATTGTCTGGTTTCGATTATTTACAGACCGCCGTCATATAGTTGGAATATTGCCGAGTGCGGCGTTAAATAACAAACAAACAAACATATCAATAATAATGTGCATAATTTTAATGCGCACCATCCTCAAACTAAAGCATGCTCAAATTGCTACATTATTAGGGCTGTCAATTTATCAGTGTGCTCATTCTCAATTCCTGGGAAACATACAAGCCAAGCTGCCTCATGTGTCACATGACCATCTTAACTCATTCTACCGGGTACCCATTCACCAGCATATACTCACAGTTGCAACTGCAGGTGGGACAGCCGTTGCTATTAAGGACGTTGCCGAAAGGGCAGTAGATCATACAGAAAGGGCCGCACACAGCCCGATCACTCGGGGCGGCTGAAAGCAGAAATAGGAAGCAATAGTATGACTTCTCTGAGAGGCATTTAGAAGTTGGAGCACTAAGTAAGGATAAGAGATACATGTGAACAACATCTATACGCAACTTGCTTGATTACCCCAGATCAATTGGTCATCCTGCTTGAGAACAGTGTTAGAACCCGCACCGAAACGTCACTCCTGATTGTCGTAAAGTTCATCATCACTATATCTTATGCTAACTTAACAAAGTTACATTTGTGTAAGTTATTGACCATTTACCATTGTGTGAGTAGGAATGCAATAAAAGAAATTGGTGTTTTCAGAACGTGCAATGTCATTTTTGGGTTAAACCTTAGGCTGAGGTTTCCAACAATCCAAACAAAACCAATTGTTACTACAACCTCACACATCTGATACCAGTATATGTGCAGTTGAATGGTCTGTTTTCTCGCCTACACATATAACCCCCTACAACCCCCGTCTCCCCCCTCCAACACACCACGCACGCACACACACCACGCACACACACACTCTCACACTACTCTATCCCCATCTCCCCCTATTCTTTCTCAGACCGCCTCCGTGGTCTTGTGGTAGAGCGTCCGCCCGGAGAGCGGAAGGTCCGGGGTTCGATCCCCGACCGCGTCATACCAAAAGACGTTAAAAGATGGTACTTCTTGTTACCCTGTCTGGCGCTCGGCATTAAGGGGTTAAAGCAAGGACTGGTCGGCTCGGAGTCAGTATATTGTGTCTGAGTGGGGTATTCATGTTAAATTGCGGCATGGTATCTCAGTGAGCTAGCACTATAAATCGGCATCAGTCCGGACTAGTACAAGCAGCTGAACACACACACACACACACACACACACACACACACACATGCATGCACGTCGCTATGTAAGTGCAATAATCTTGGACGCGACGTTAAACCCAATTTCACCTCACCTATTCTTTCTCCCCTTACTCTCTCCCTACTTACCATACGCCACGGTCACGGCCAGGAGGAGATAGACAGCGACCTTCATGATTCTCCGATGTCAGGGTTACAAATGCTGACACGACGAGAAGGCGACGATAAAGGCCCACAGAGATTAGAGTATAGCACATATAATAGTTGCGCTTATGACACTAACATAACTGCAGAATGCCGGGTGTCGAACATGCATTTGTTAAAGCTTTAAGATTCTTTTCGAAAGAAATTATATCCCAAACGCTGATTTCACAAACATATATATATGCTGATGTCATCGCACTCAATAGAACAATGGGGCAAGTTGCTGCAATTCGCCGTGTAGAGTTGTATCCCTTTGACGAACCAGGATCCAAACAAACAAACATATCATTGGACAGTGGGCGTTGTTAAACAACCATTCCTGGTATTACTTGTTCCCGTATTTCAGAAATCATTCCTTCCCAAAGAGTAATATCATTTATATGAATATTTATCCCAAAAAAAGTGTGGGTTGTTTTCTGGATTCTCAGCCGTGGAGGTATCATGCCCTCCTATCTATTTATATAGAGAAAGCATTATCGGAATAAATGTAAACTTTGTCGTTTGTATAGCTACCAAGTGCGAGACCCCTGAAGATTCCGGGGTAGAATAGGTCTTCAGCAACCCATGCTTGTCGTAAGAGGCGACTAACGGGATCGGGTGGTCAGGCTCGCTGACTTGGTTGATGCATGTCGCATCCCAATTGCGTAGATCGATGTTCATGATGTGAATCACTGGATTGTCTGGTCCAGACTCCATTATTTACAGACCGCCGTCATATTGCTGGAATATTGCGCCGTTAAACAACAAACAGACAAACAAACCAAGTGCGAAGGGATAATTTCCTAAGCGATATAATGATATGCAGTAACTATCGTCGTAAGAGCGATCGCATTGAAATCACCACACAGCCGCTATTGGAACCGAAAGCATCGTTCACCGAACACATTCGGTCATATCCGTTAAATTCCAAATTTCAAAACAACATTTATGTCGCCACAGTGCGGGAAACATGGTTGATAGTAGCACAGAAGAGAAACAGGAAAGTGTTTTCATCAGCGCTTGTTTCCTGAGAATGGAATTCTAATTCAGAGGTTAATGCGCATTGAACGTAAATTATAATTCCCCTTTGATTCAGATTATTCGTTTTCAGCATTTTGTATTGCATTATCTCCGGTGGCCCAAAAGGGACATAATATTCCACCGCGGTGGAAATACTTTTCTGTATTTTCATTTTAGTTTTTGACATTTTCGCTTTTGTTTATGACATTTTCGTTTTTGTTTTGGACATTTTCATTTTAGTTTTTGACATTTTTGTTTTTGTTTTGGACATTTTCATTTTAGTTTTTGACATTTTCGCTTCACTTTTCAGCGATTCAATATCTACTTTATACATGATTTATCACATATTTGTATGACACATTGTGTTTATTTGCAAAAGGTTGCGATAAAAGTAAGTGAAATATCAAAATATTGAAAAACAGACTCCATGTCCCTTTTGGCCACCGTACAGGGCTAATAAAAAAAATTCAGTCAATGTCAACAGTAGGCAATTCGTCTGTGGCTGATTGATGCTGAAACAATAATATAAATTTATACATATACTTATGTATTGTATTATAAACATATACCATTACCAGGTCCCGAATGCTGGGATAATAATAATGCCCATTTATTTGGTTAACTGATGCAAGAAGACACGTCTCCAACTTTAGATAACAAAATTCTTGCTCAATATCATGGCTTATATGCTTTATAGTCAAGACTTCGAGCAAGATTTTTCACAGGCTGTGTTTTCGGAAAAGGTGTCAATGTACAGGGGTCGGCTTTTGGTGGATACAGCGGAAGTTAACGGATACAGTTGGCCTCAACCTTGTTGTTTCTGCCCATCCCTGTCCCGCTCTGACAGGTGGCCCTCTCTCGTGACAATCCCTGGCCAAGAAGATAAGACCATAAAGTAAAATGGTTTTGAAAACGTTTTAAATATCTATAAAGCTATGTATTATTTTAATTTAAAAATGTGTTGAGAAAATATTAATGTAATTGAATGAATACATTGCCTCTGCTCAAAATATATTTCTACTTTTTGACTATTATTCTTTACATTCGTGATACAATGAGAGACAGACATTCTTTATTTCCTCCAATAATTGAAGAGTACATGTGAAAGTAAATTAGATCAAATCATAAATGACCTGTTATTAACCAAAAGAATATAAGAAAAAAATATACATACAATGCCCTTCTAGGTAGGTGCTAGTGAACAGTAACGGTTATACATGTAACATGCTTTATTTGATGTTCAGTAAACTACGGTTATAACGAGCACGCTGATAACGAACTGACGGATATAACGAACTAAAATTAGTAGTCCCTTTGAGTTCGTTATAACCGTAGTTTACTGTATAACCTGCAAATATGTACTTTGAAACAACCAACACAAATTGTGTCCAAGTGCTGAACTCAACACAACATAAAATGTTGTGATCTCATCCAAGCAAACAGTTCAACATTGCAGTGTCATCCTGGTCACACAAAAATAATGTCGTTTGTGTGCAGCACTGAAGAAAGTCTGTCGCACATCTGATTTCTCTGTTGCAAGAGTCATTCACAGTCAATGATGACATGTTTTCCACAGCCCCGGACTATGGTGTGGGATAGTGAACGTATAACATCACCAGGTTTGATTGATACCAGATATATCATGGATGATATGTACAGTTTGTGTGGAACGTATGCTATTTTCCATAAGTGATGCATACGCACTGTCGGGTGAATTTCATTCAAAGTTTGTTGTCCTGGTTTGTTTTGAGGCACGCTGGTGTTTAATACCTGTTCATATTGATAAAGAATCTGCTTGACCACAGGGGCGGTCGGGTAGCCAAGAGGTTAAAGCGTTGGCTCATCACGCCGAAGATGCGGGTTCGATTCCCGATATGGGTACAATGTATGAAGCCCATTTCTGGTGTCCCCCGCCGTGATATTGCCGGAATATTGCGTAAAAGCGACGTAAAATAAAACTCACTCACTCACTCTTGACCACAGAGCACCATCTCTGTCCATAAAGGTGCCGCATTCAGATAAGCAAGCAGTATTTCTATTATATTTTCTAAACAGTAAAACTGTCTTTTGTATAAAACTACTGTCAATATTGACACCTGCCTAATTGCCGTTAGAAAAGTTTCTTCGATAACATGAATTATTCTGTCAACATAGTCGACCAAAGAATAACAGTTTTCCTTTGTCTTTATATGTGTGCATTGACCACAGTCCAACTGCTATAATGGTAGTCACAAAAGGTAACCTCCCATTTGTTAGACAGCCCAGAGGGGCGGCCGGGTAGCCTAGTGGGTAAAGCGTTCGCTCGTCACGCCGAAAACCCGGGTTCGATTCCCGACATGGGTACAATATGTGAAGCCCATTTCTGGTGTCCCCCGCCGTGATATTTCTGGAATATTGCTAAAAGCGGCGTAAAACCATACTCACTCACTCACTCTGGTGTCCCCCGCCGTGATATGGCTGGAATATTGCTAAAAGCGGCGTAAAACCATACTCACTCACTTAGACAGCCAGTTGTTAAACACCTTAAAACAAAAACGTTCTGGTTGAGTTCAAAGCAAGGCATCATACTGTTACCTCAGATGAATAATGGAATGACCCATAGGCATATACATAAGAAAGAAGTGTTAAATATTTTTTATATTTCATCGGTCTCATCTCTTTAGAAAATGTTACTATCATCCATAGCACTACAAAATGTACAGAATATAAATATTACTATTTACTCCGCTGAGTAGGACTGTTCCATTATATTTGTGGGTATTGCCCTTATTAACCTTCCACTCCATTGTCTAACAACTGGCTGTCCAACAAAAGGGAGCTGGCAAACTTTCTCTGGGTGGTTTCCAGTTTGGGGTATGAAGCCTCAGATATGTTGGTGAACAACTCACATGAGTAGAGATAACCTCACTCACTCACTCACTCACTCACTCACTCACTCACTCACTCACCCACCCACCCACCCACCCACCCACCCACCCACCGACCGACCCACTCACTCACTCACTCACTCACTCACTCACTCACCATATGCATGGAACAGTGTGAGTAGATTCAGGTGTTCTGTCAGTGTACACGTGAAGTTGCATGGTATGTCAGAATGACATTTTAACGATGGGGAGTTTGCTTTGTTATTGCAGTTGACCAAAGAATACAAAACATTCGTTTAAAAGTGCAAGTTTGTCACTTGATACTACAGGGGGTACATCTTCCCGAGGCAAGGGAGCTAACTGACTGTAAAAGTCCAGTTTCCATCCTTTCCGAACTAGGCTGCAATTATGGAGTTACATTTTGGCTGGACAGATAAGTCTATGCATAGCTCAATCAAAATCGCGCAACGAAATCGAAATCCGGTTAGTAGACTGTCATGCAGATTTCGGTCGAATGCAGGATTTGCAAAGCATGCGCACCGCCAACTCGTTCTCAACAGGTATTTTCTAAATCTTTTCATGTTTGTAATCAAGGTGCTCACGTGATTTGATGCACTTCACGATGTAAGACTCGTTTTATCACAATATAGATCTTGATTATCGATCAGATCATCTTGACTGGGCGCCGCCATTTTGTTTGAAGCTAATGCAAGGGATACGAGAGGTGGAATCTGATTGGTCCATAGGAGAGGCATAGAAGGGACATAAATCGTAACAGCCACTGGTGGTGCAACGATCAATCACTTATACAAATTCCAGCCTAGTTCGGCAAGGGTGGAAACTGGACTTTTCAAGTCAGTTAACTCTCTTACCTCGGGAAGATGCAGGGGATAAAGTGATGAAGTGAATAACAATTTTGAACAATTGGGTCCGTAATATCCTTTGACTGTAGTTGCGTTTCATTTGTTCTTGAGTATAGTTGTTGTTTTTCTGCTAAAATAAGATCGCCAAGAGCCTTATATGCAAGAACGGTTTATTTCAATAGAAGATGTTCTATGGCAAGGTGACAGTGGGAGCACACTTGCAAATGGGACAACCCCGATCGTCGTTAGCATATTTCAAATTGGGACACGTCAAGTCACACAAAGTCAAATGAGGGTCAACGCAGATGATGGCCTTCTTTTCCAGCGCAGGGGCGTCCGATCCTGTAGGCCCTGGAAATAAATAAAGTTTGTTTGTTTGTTTGTTTGTTTACTTGTTTTTTAACGTCACACTCAGCAATATTCCAGCTGTATGACGGCGGTCTGTAAAAAATCGAGTCTGGACCAGACAATCCAGTGATTGATATCATGAGCATCGGTCCACACAATTGGAATCGATGACATGCTTCTAACCAAGTCAGCGAGCCTGACCACCCGATCCCGTTAGTCACCTCTGACGACAAGCATAGTCGCCTTTTACGGCAAACATGGGTTGCTGAAGACCTATTCTGCCCCGAATCTTCACGGGTTTATGTTTAGCTAATATTTGTGATAGATGAAAGGAGATTTTTCGAAGACCGATTTAAGAATGATTTTATATGATAAAGAGGTTATGACGCTTGTGTTGTTTGGGATGGTATATAACCTGTAATTCTTTAGTCTGAAGTGGGCACGGGTTGCCCAGTAGTCTAAGGCGCCGCGATTCGCTTTGCAAAACCTATGATTGTTGGGTTCGAGTCCCGGTTCGCCGCGATTATGTTTCTAGGTTTGTCAGCACCATGCCCGTGCTCGTGGGTTTCACCGAAATGGTAAACGTCTGAGACCTGCATCACTTCGGGCTTTCCTCCCACATTAAGCTGACACGCCGTGATATAACTGGAATACTTTTAAAAGCGGCGTTAAACCCAACTCACTCACTCACTCACTCACTGTAGTCTGAAAACCTGTATCATCGTCGTCTCTTGATATCGTAATTCATCATTATTTTCAGATATCAGTAATTCGCATGATTGCAATAAAAAGTATCGATATCATATTTGACCATCGAATAGATATATACCCAATAATAATTACATATCATTAAGACCCGTGTCGATCCCGGATAGAATAGGTCTTCAGCAACCCATGCTTGCCGTAAAAGTTGACTATGCTTGTCGTAAGAGGCGACTAACGGGATCGGGTGGTCAGGCTCGCTGACTTGGTTGATGCATGTCATCGATCAAAATTGCGAAGATCGATGCTCATGATGTCAATTACTGGATTGTCTGGTACAGACTCGATTATTTACAGACCGCCGTCATATAGCTGGAATATTGCTGAGTGCGGCGTTAAACAACAAACATATCAATAATAATGTGCATAATTTTAATGCGCGCCATCTTCAAACTAAAGCATGCTCAAATTGCTACATTATTAGGGCTGTCAATTGATCAGTGTGCACTCGAAATTCAGTCTCAATTCCTGGGAAATATACAAGCCAAGCTGCCTTATGTGTCACATGACCATCTTAACTCATTCTACCGGGTACCCATTCACAAGCATATACTCACAGTTGCAACTGCAGGTGGGACAACCGTTGCTGTCGAGGACGTTGCCGAAAGGGCAGTACATCATACAGACAGGGCCGCACGCAGCCCGATCACTCGGGGCGGCTGGAAGCAAAAAAGGAAACAATAGTGACTTCTCTGAGAGGCATTTAGAAGTTGGAGCACTAAGTAAGGATAAGAGATACGGGTGAACAACATCTATATTACATCTAGGAGCGACGTTTCGGTGTAGGCTCAGCACCGTTATCACGCAACTTGCTTGATTACCCCATGTCAATTGGTCATCCTGCTTGATAACAGTGTTAGAACCCGCACCGAAACGTCACTCCTGATTGTCGTAAAGTTCATCATCACTATATCTTATTCTAACTTAACAAAGTTACATTTGCGTAAGTTATTGACCATTTACCATTGTGTGAGTTGGAATGCAATAAAAGAAATTGGTGTTTTCAGAACCTGCAATGTCATTTTTGGGTTAAACCTGAGGCTGAGGTTTCCAACAATCCAAACAAAACCAATTGTTACTACAACCTCACACATCTGATACCAGTATATGTGCAGTTGAATGGTCTGTTTTCTCGCTTACACACATAACCCCATACAACCCCCGTCTCCCCACACACACACACCACGCACACACACACTCTCACACTACTCTATCCCCATCTCCCCCTATTCTTTCTCAGACCGCCTCCGTGGTCTAGTGGTAGAGCGTCCGCCCGGAGGGGGAAGGTCCGGGGTTCGATCCCCGACCGCGTCATACCAAAAGACGTTAAAAGATGGTACTTCTTGTTACCCTGTCTGGCGCTCGGCATTAAGGGGTTAAAGCAAGGACTGGTCGGCTCGAAGTCAGTATATTGTGTCTGAGTGGGGTATTCATGTTAAATTGCGGCATGGTATCTCAGTGAGCTAGCACTATAAATCGGCATCAGTCCGGACTAGTACAAGCAGCCACACACACACACACACACACACACACACACACACACACACGTGCATGCACGTCGCTATGTAAGTGCAATAATCTTGGACGCGACGTTAAACCCAATTTCACCTCACCTATTCTTTCTCCCCTTACTCTCTCCCTACTTACCATACGCCACGGTCACGGCCAGGAGGAGACAGACAGCGACCTTCATGATTCTCCGATGTCAGGGTTACAAATGCGGACACGACGAGGAGGCGACGATAAAGGCCCACAGAGATTAGAGTATAGCACATATAATAGTTACGCTTATGACACTAACATAATTGCAGAAGCCGGTTGTCGAACATGCATTTTTTAAAGCTTTAAGATTTTTTTCGAAAGAAATTATATCTTAAACGCTGATTTCACAAATATATATACATGCAGATGTCATCGCACTCAATAGAACAAAGGGGCAAGTTGCTGCAATTCGCCGTTCAGAGTTGTATCCCTTTGACGTACCAAGATCCAAACAAACAAACATATCATTGGACAGCGGACGTTGTTAAACAACCATTCCTGGTATATCTTGTTCCCGTATTTCAGAAATCATAGGTAATGTCATTTATATGAAAATTTATCACCAATATTCTCTCATACATCTACAACACTTTCGTCTCATAAAAAGTCCGGATTCCCAGCCATGGAAGTATCATGCCCTCCCATCTATTTATATAAAGAAAGCATTATCGGAATAAATGTAAACTTTACCGTGGGTATAGCTACCAAGTGCGAGATCCGTGAATATTCCGGGGTAGAATAGGTCTTCAGCAACCCATGCTTGCCGTAAAAGGTGACTATGCTTGTCGACTAACGGGATCGGTTGGTCAGGCTCGCTGACTTGGTTGATGCATGTCATCGTATCCCAATTGCGTAGATCGACGCTAATGATATCAATCACAGGATTGTCTGGTCCAGACTCGATTATTTACAGACTGCAATCATTTTGCTGGAATATTGCGGCGTTAAACAACAAACAAAAGAACAAACAAACAAACCAAGCGCGGAGGAATAATTTCCTATGCGTTATAATGTATATGCAGTAACTATCGTCGTAACAGCGGTCGCATTGGAATCACCACACAGCCGCTGTTGAAACCGAAAGCATCGGTCATATCCGTTCAATTCCAAATTTCAAAATAACATTTATGTCGTCACAGCGCGGGAAACATGGTTGATTGAACACAGAAGAGAAACGGGGAAGTGTTTTAATCAACGCTTGTTTCCTGAGAATGGAATTCTAATGAAGAGGTTAATGCGCATTGAAAGTAAATTATAATTCCCTTCGATTCAGATTATTTGTTTTCAGCTAAGATGCATTTTGTATGCATTATCGATGTATTGTAATGGGAGTCGAAAGGAATTCTTATCAGTCATAGAGCTGGATAAATGACTTCACCCATAATTTCATTCACTGTTTACATCATAGAGCTAGCTCTAGTATTGCCAAATAATTGTTGATATAAACAGGGCTAAAAAAAAGTAAGTCAATGTCAACAATAGGCGATTCGTCTGTGGCTGATTGATACTGAAAAATAATATTGATTTATACATATACTTATGTATTTTATTATAAACATATACCATTACCAGATCCCGATTGCTTGGTTCTGGTGTAGGGGTTGCATTCGTCACCATTCGCCCCTTTCCGTAACCTGCAGGAAGTCTGTCGTCACCACTCGCCCCTTTCCGTAACCTGCAGGAAGTCATTCGTCACCATTCGCCCCTTTCCGTAACCTGCATGAAGTCATTCGTCACCATTCGCCCCTTTCCGTAACCTGCATGAAGACTCGTCCCCCCTATCGATGAATGTTATGTGCGAAAATACGACAAACCAATCAGAATGCGCGTATGAATTCAAGTTCTTCGTCAAAGAATCCCTCAGAAATAATTTTTGATTTTATATATGTCTTTTGATATACCCAAGACACAGTTAAATGTGTTCAATCATACTGTATAATTCCGCACGTCCTGATGTGCTTTAAATTGCATCTGAAATGTATATAATATATTACGCAACGAGTTGACAATTATTTTAGTTATGCCCGTTTGCGCTAAGACGGAATCCGGTCGCAAAAATGGCCACGAGATGGGCACGAGTCGCTATTCGGCTTGTCCCGGAATAACACGAGTTGGTCACGAATAGTACGGATGGGCGTGGTGACGGACATCTTCAACGTATGCGGAGACCATACCTGCCCATTTATTTGGATAACTGATGCAAGAAGACACGTCTCCAACTTTAGATACCAAAATTCTTGCTCAATATCATGACTTTTATGCTTTATAGTCAAGACTTCGAGCAAGATTGACCAAAAGACATTACTTCGCTTGTCACTCATTTGTTTACCGCCGCCATTTTTCGCAGGCTGTGTTTTCGGAAAAGGTGTTGTCAATGTACTAGGATCGGCTTTAGGTGGATACAGCGGAAGTTAACGGATACAGTTGGCCTCAACCTTGTTGTTTCTGCCCATCCCTGTCCCGCTCTGACAGGTGTCCCTCTCTCGTGACAATCCCTGGCCAAGAAGATAAGACCATAAAGTAAAATGGTTTTGAAAACGTTTTAAATATCTTTAAAGCTATGTATTATTTTAATTTAAAAATGTGTTGAGAAAATATTAATGTCTTTCTGTCTTTCAAACATGAATACATAGCCTCTCCTCAAAACATATTTCTACTTTTTGACTGGTATTCTTTACGTGTGTGATACATTGACAGACATTCTTTATTTCCTCCAATACATGTACATGAAGAGTACATGTGAAAGTAAATTAGGTCAAATCATAAATGACCTGTAATTAACCCAAAGAAGATAACAAAAATATAAACATGCAAAGCCCTTCTAGGCAGATGCTAGTGAACAATAACGGTTATAAAATGCTTTGTTTGACCTGCAAATATGTACAAACTTTGAGACAACCAACACAAAATGCACCCAAGGCTAAACTCAACACGACATAAAGTGTTGTGATCTCATCCACGTAAACGGTTCAACATTGCAGTGTCATCGTGGTCACAAAAAATAATAAAGTCGTTCATGTGCAGCACTGAAGAAAGTCTATCGCACATCTGATTTCTCTGTTGCAAGAGCCCTTCACAGTCAATGATGACATGTTTTCTACAGCCCCGTACTATGGTGGGGAATAGTGAACGTATAACATCACCGGGTTTTACTGATGACAGATATATCATGGATGATGTGTAGAGTTTGTGTGTTAGATGAACGTATGCTATTTTCCATAAGTGATGCATACGCACTGTCGGGTGAATTTCATTCAAAGTTTGTTGTCCTGGTTTGTTTGGGGGCACGCTGGAGTTACCTGTTCATAAGAATCTTGTTGACCACAGAGATGGTGCTCACTCACTCACTCACTCACTCACCCACCCACCCACTCTCACTCACTCACTCACTCACTCACTCACTCACCCACCCTAACCCCCAATCACTCACTCACTCACTCATCCACACACCAACTCACTCACTCACTCACTGACTCCAAATCATGGACCACCATCGTCATGGAACAGTGTGAGTAGATTCAGTAGTTCTGTCAGAGTACACGTGAAGTTGCATGGTATATCAGAATGTTATTTTAACGCAGGAGTATGCTATGTTATGGCAGTCAACCAAAGAATAGGAATCACTCGTTTAAATGTAAAGATCTGTTTTGCAAGTATATCGCTTGATATTACAGGAAAATATTTGTTGAAGTGTTTACCAATTTTGTATATAACTGATAAACTATGTCCGAAATATCCTGGTGACTGGGTAGCATTGTGGTTAAAGCGTTCGCTCGTCACGCCGAAAACCCGGTTTCGATTCCACGACATGGGTACAATGGGTGAAGCCCATTTCTGGTTCCCCCCGCCGTGATATTGCTGGATATTGCAAAAAGCGGTGTAAAACCACACTCACTCCTGGTGACTGTAGATGCGTTTGATTAGCTCTTGAGTATAGTTCCACTTTTACTGAATCAAGATCAACAAGAAGAGCCTTGTATGTAGGAATGGTTTATCTAAAAAACATTGGTGTTAGGTGTCTTATGGCAGAAGCCTGTGCATCAGTTATCAGTCAGGTAGGATTATGGTGTTATCACACTTGCAGAGGGGGCAGCCGTTGGCGTCGTGAGCCATCCTCCCCGAAGGACACCACAAGTCACACAAGGCCATTTGGGCGTTAAAGCAGAGAGCCTTCTTTTCCACCGAGGGGGCGTTGGATGTTGGCCCTGGAAATAGATTTCAAGAAAGGATCGTCGTCATCTTCGTCGTCGTCATCATCATCATCATCATCATCACCATCATCATCATCATCATCATCGGAGTGTGTGAAAGGGTGCGTGCGTGCGTGCGTGTATCTGTGTGTGTCTGTGTCTGCTTGTGTGTTTACGTGCGTGTATATGTGTCTCTGCGTCTTCCTGTGTGTGTGCGTGCGTGCGTGTGTGTGTGTGTCTGTGTGTGTGTCTGTGTCTGCCTGTGTGTTTACGTGCGTGTGTATGTGTCTCTACGTCTGCCGTGTGTGTGTGTGTGCGTGCGTACGTGTGTGTGAGTGTATGTCTGTGTGTGTGTCTGTGTCTGCCTGTGTGTTTACGTGCGTGTGTATGTGTCTCTACGTCTGCCGTGTGTGTGCGTGCGTGCGTGCGTATCTGTGTGAGTGTATGTGTGCGTGCGTGTGTGTGTCTGTGTGTCTCTCTCTCTATGACTGTGTGTGCCCGTGTGTCTGGTAGTAGTAGTAGTAGAAGTAGTAGTAGTAGTAGTAGTAGTAGTAGTAGTTCTAAATATCATTAATTTACCACTTTTCTCACTTACTCTTCATATCTACTCAACTACGTATTTATAAATAATAACAATCATCAGCAGCATCATATCATCATCATCATCTTCATCGTCATCCTCCAATATTATTAGCCCGGTCAATTGATCAGTGTGCACTCGAAATTCTTTGGGAAATATACAACCCAAGCTGTCTTAGGATGCACTTAGCCATCTCGTTCTGCCGGGTACCCATTCACCAGCATATACTCACAGTTGCAACTGCAGGTGGGGCAGCCGTTGCTGTCGAGGACGTTGCCGAAAGGGCAGTATATCATACAGACAGGGCCGCAGAGGGACTGGTCTCTCGGGGCGGCTGTGGAAACCAGAGAAGAAGTGTAACGTTCATAGCAGTGTGGAAGATATCGATCATATAACACTATGTGTCGGTAGTCGGGGGTAGGGGAGAGGGGGGATACAAGAAATCGTAATGGGTTTTTTTCAGAACATGCAATTTTATTTTTGGAGTCACAGACGCAAAACTGATCGTAACTACAACCTTACACATCTGGTTCAAATATTTCCAAGTACATTATCCATGTATTCTCGCATATATATCAACCACCACCCCCACCCCCTCCCCCCCCCCCCCCCCCCACCCCCGTCTCCCCCCATCCTGTGCCCCGTCACTCCCCCCACCCCACCCCACCCCACCCCACCCTTCTCTCCAAGTTTCTGTCACACCTCCCCTTATAGACTAACAAATCCTTCTTGACTCTGAAGATAAAAAAAAATTCCCTGTGCTGATTTCATATTTCATATTCATGTGGAATAGAGGTAGCTAGAGCTGTCTAGACTTGCTCTTGTATGCGTTTCTAGGTTATTGTTTTTTCATAAAATAAATATATTCCAAAGTCATGGTGCAGGACTACTTCCCTTATTCTCTGCCTACTTACCATACGCCACGGTCACGGCCAGGAGGAGACAGACAGCGACCTTCATGATTCTCCGATGTCAGGGTTACAATTGCGCTCACAACGAGGAGGCGTCGGTTTTCTCCCACATTGATTAGAGTGCAGCACATAAAAAGGTTACACTTATATCACCCACATCATCCACTTTTTAGTTTTGATATTACTTTCGAAGGAAATTTCATCGTTAACACGGATTCCATAAACATATATACATGTAGGCGTTATCGCGCCCGAAGGGACAAAGTGACAGGTTCCTGCAGTTCGTTGAATAGTTGCGTCCCTTTGACGCTCCAGGATCATGTTATCGTGAGTTCGATCATAGATTCCTTGGTATGTCATAAATATGTTCGTGGGAGTCACCACATGAAGTTGACACGTCCTGATATACCTAAACCATTATTCCATACGGGTTAAAACATAACCCAGTAACATACCCACTATCGCACTTACCGATCAACATGAACAAAAGTGACGAAACCTTTCCATATTCGTAAGAGATTTCTGCTAAATGCAGAGTCGATTGGACGACCATATCATGCTCAAGTCTCTTTCACCCATCTACGACACTAACATCTCATAAACAGTAGAGGTTTTATCCGGATTCCTAGCCATGGAGGTTTTTTGTCGGCCTCATCAGCGTCGCGGGGTTGTGTCAGGTTGTTTCTGCACAGCCCTGTACCGCCTCCACGAAGCAGGTGGCCTCTCTCACGACAAGCCCTGGCCAGGAAGATAAGACCAGAACGGAAAATGGTTTTAAATACGTTTTAAATATCTATAAAGCTGTTTATTGTTTTCATCTAAAAATATTTTAAGAAAATATGAATATACTTCATACTGAATATCTTTTCCAACATAAATACATAGCCTCTTCTCAGCATGCATTAAACGTAAGTGTTACTTAATCATAATTATATTGGCCACTCTTCCGTCACAATACGTATAAGTCATACATTTTTTATACTTTGTATACTTCTTACATGTGTTATATAGTGTATACTTCTTACATATGTGACACTGTATACTTGTTATATGTGTGACATTGTGTATACTTCTTAAATATTTGATACTGTGAATACTTCTTACATGTGTAATACAGTGTATACTTCTTACATGTGTGATACTGTGTATACTTCTTACATGTGTGATGCTGTGTATACTTCTTACATGTGTGATACTGTGTATACTTCTTACATATGTTATACAGGGTATACTTCTTATATGTGTGATACAGTGTATACTTCTTACATGTGTGATACTGTGTATACTTCTTACATGTGTGATACTGTGTATACTTCTTACATGTGTGATACGGTGTATACTTCTTACATGTATGAAACTGTGTATACTTCTTACATGTGTGATACTGTGTATACTGCTTGCATGTGTGATACTGTGTATACTTCTTACATGTGTGAAACAGTGTGTACTTCTTACATGTGTGATACTGTGTATACTTCTTACATGTGTGATACTGTGTATAGTTCTTACATGTGTGATACTGTGTATACTTCTTACATGTGTGATACTGTGTATACTTCTTACATGTGTGATACTGTGTATACTTCTTACATGTATGAAACTGTGTATACTTCTTACATGTGTGATACTGTGTATACTACTTACATTTGTGATATTGTATACTTCTTACATGTGTGACACTGTGTATACACCTTACATATGTGACACTGTATACTTCTTACATGTGTGATACTGTGTATACTACTTACATTTGTGATATTGTATACTTCTTACATGTGTGACACTGTGTATACACCTTACATGTGTGACACTGTGTATACTTCTTGCATGTGTGATACTGTGTATACTTCTTGCATGTGCGATACTGTGTATACTTCTCACATGTGTGATAGTGTATACTTACTACATGTGTGATACTGTGTATACTACTTACATTTGTGATAGTGTATATCTTACATGTGGGAAGATGCGTACACTTCTCACATGTGTGAAACTGTGTATACTCCTTACATGTGTGATACAGCGTTTACTTCTTACATGTGTGACTGTGTAAATGTCTTACATGTGTAGTACTGTCTATACTTCTTACATGTCTGATAAAATGTATTCTTCTTACATGCGTGATAGTGTATACTTCTTACATGTGTGATGCCGTGTATACTTCTTACAAGTGTGATACTGTGTACACTTCTTACACGTGTGATACTGTGTACACTTCTTACACGTGTGATTCGGTGTATACTTCTTACATGTGGGACACTTTGTATGCTTCTTACACGTGTGATACTGTATACACTTCTTACACGTGCGATACGGTGTATACTTCTTACACGTGTGATACTGTGTATACATCTTACATGTGTTACACTATGTATACTTCTTACATTTGTGATACTGTGTATACATCTTACATGTGTTACACTCTGTATATTTCTTACCTGTTTGATACAGTGTATACTTGGTACATGTGTGGATCACCGCTGTGGTCTTGTGGATAGAGCGTCTCAGTCCCCGGAGAGAGGACTTTCGGTGTTTCAATCCCCAGCCACGTCATACTACAAGATGACACTTCTTGTTACCCTGCCTGGCGCTCGACATTAAGAGTATAAAACCAGGACTGTTTGTCTCGGAATCAGTGGCCATGTGGAAAAAAGAAGGGCACGTACTTGCAATAATTGTGTTCCATTTCTTGGTAGTAAATACATGTAAACAACGCGTGGGCTTCAGTGAACATGGTTTATTATACAAAATAAACACCCACAATAAACACCGACTAGTTTCCCCTGGTTTTATCGTTTGTTGTCACGTGACAAGATGGCGCAACACGGCGCTGTTCCCAAAGAAGCGCCCTGGAAATCATCACCTTCAATGGAAAGCCGTGAGGCCATTGTCAGTAGTCTGAAACACCATGTTTCCCACAGAAAATACCATATCAACTTCCCCTTTGAGACCTATAACATCACGCTGAGTCCAGCAGCTAGCTACGTACAAAATGTCCCGAATAAAATCACCAACGTAATCCAACTTTGTATCTGTGCACGTCATCACGAGAACCTGCTCAATTCAGTTAGCGGAATTAACCGAGTGCACTCGATTGATTACGTAATAACTCCGGTTTGAGGGGAGGCTGGAGGGTTGATGAGGATGTCCGCAAAGTATAAACACGTCCATGTCCTCATCACAAACACAAGATGCAGCGACAGTTACCATGGAGACAGGTATGGTTTATGTCTAAGATACTGCACACCAACTCGGCCATAATACCAATATACACTAGCCAAGGAGCCGTTATGAGATTCATCTGCAACGAGATATAACAATGTGCCTTTTATGACTACATATACCACAGTGAGTGAGTGAGTTGAGTTTTAACGCCGCTTTTAACATTATTCCAGTTATATTACGGCGTGTCAGCTTAATGTGGGAGGAAAGCCCCAAGTGATGCAGGTCTCAGACGTTTACCACTTCGGTGAAACCAACGAGCACGGGTATGGTGCTGACAACCTAGAAACATAATCGGGGCGAACCGGGATTCGAACCCACAATCATAGGTTTCTGGCGTGCCCAAGGGACGCAACTCTGCACAGCGAATCGCGGCGCCTTAGACGACTGGGCCACCCGTGCCCCCACATATACTACATATATACACATTATTCACAGGTCCATTCTATGTATTGTACAGTACAGATATCTGCATAACCCCAGCAACGTTTCAGGTCTGTACACCAATACATGTTTTCAATACCGTCTTATTTTTCAGTACCGTCTGTACACACACCATTTATTTTTTTACAATACCGTCTGGATAACATGTCTACAATGCCATAATACATCATGTTCTCATGACTGCGTTTGTTAAGACAACCTGGACATAAGTTCATTATTGTCAATGATGTGTTCAATGTCGTCTGTTCTTAAGAACAACCTCACAACAGGTGCCCATCATAATACGTTCTCGCCTCCGAAATGGGAATGTGCGAATATCACCAAAAATAACAGTAAAAATACATAAATTTAACAAATGATAAAATTCATATTACCATAAAACGAAAATACAAAATTAAAATATTGTTTAAAGCAAATTTCACATGGGGAAAAGAATATAATAAAAAATACATATGTTCAAAAATACATGTATTTATGAGTCCGTCCCTAACGGACTTCAGTCCGTTGAAATGTAAATATGCGCCAAAACATGATTGTAAAAAATATGAATTTAAAATAAGATAAAATTCACTAAAATATGAAAATACAAAATTCAAATATTTTTTCAAAGCAAATTGCACATCAGTAAAAGAATGATAATACAAAAATACATATTTTCAGAAATGACGAACAACTTCAGCCCCTTGAACAAGACAGCAAAACTGACTATCAACACCAGTTCATACTAACAACCATCAAGTTCCCATGTTGAAAGGTGTGATGGTGGCGTTTCTAAACATAAACAGCTTGTCATTGGTCCCCCTGAGGAAGGCTCCCCTGATGCTGAAGTTACTTGCTGAGACAACTAGCACGTGACATTTGGTCAGGATCAGCTGTTCCAAGATGGCCGTCTCGAAGCCATCACACGCCGACCCGCTCTTTCTCTGTCTGTCAATGTGGATGATGGTCCCTCCACTGTCCAGTGTTTTCTTTCCGAATCTCTTCCGAGCAAGCGCTCTAACCTCCATTGAGTCAGTTGCTATGAACATTCGCGTGGCATTCTTCACATAAGGGGAGAGGAAATCCCATAATGCATCTACTGACTCAATCGAGTTCCGGTTCGGGGAGTCGTTTGTCAGCTGTGCGTTTTTACCGATCCGCACATGCGCGCACACCAGGTCACCCTGCTTCAAGAGGTCAACGCCTTTCAGAAGAGCGTTGAGGCGTTTGGTCATGTGATTTGTTGGTGTCATTAATTTTTCCCAGCCGTTCTTGAAGGCCCTGTGACGATATGTGTTTGCCCAGTCTGGGATTTTTTTCTTGTAAAGAGGATTTGATTTGATAATATTTAACAAGTCACTGTTGGATCGAAGATATATGACGTCGTAGTTATAAATTTTATTGAAATCCTGGAAGCGAGCAACCTTATGGTAGTCTGTTGCACGAACACCGCCAACTGTAATGGCAGACTTTCCCGCCAATTCTGAATCGGGGATTTCCCAGTGGTACTTGTGTGGCTTAAGAAAGTTGCGAACTGGACATGGTGACGTCATATTAAGAACAAACACTCTATTGGTGACAATGGCAAGCAAATAGGCAGCGACCACGCCTCTTTGTCTGTCGCCCCAACCAGCGCATGCGCGAGTACTGTCACATAAATGAACGATATAACGTTTTTTGCTTGCGTCTGAACGAATAGACGTGATCTCGTGAGATGATTCAGTTTTTTCCAAGCTCGTGAAGGTTTTTTTTCGTTTTTCTTTGGACTCTTCACGAAGAACATTATCGTTCTGTATTTTTGGCTTAGATTGACTCTGTTTTTCAGGAGACAAATATCTTTCTTCTGCATGAATCTGTTCCTTGATTAGCTGTTTAAGTTCGCGCAAGCTCAGCTCTCTCTGAACGGCAACGGGGTCTTTTTTGGTCACGTGGTTTATGAACACCACGACGACGAAGGCGGACAGCACCATCAACAGTAACACCTGCCCCTCGAGTCTCTTCATACTGACGCCTGCAATTAATACAAATATCAAATAAATAAATACACGTGTCGGCACAGAACTGTGTGTTCATTCCAAGCCCAAAACGAGGCGTACAGTATCCAAATACTGTAGCGTACTAATAACTGGTTCTACTGTTGGTACGCGACACAAGCTTACCGCTTTACGTGATGTCCAGAAAGTGGTACAAACGTGTGCCATATCCGGTAATAGGTGCGCATGCGTAACGTCCTTAGAATCGATGCTGTGTTTCTGAAAAGTGAACGTCTTGCACCTGTTGTGATCTTATCTGCTTATGTTGCACTTTACTTCACAAACAAACTTCACATAGTCCGCCATTTGTTTTCATTCGAGACCGAGGACAAATGAATGCTCTGCTCAGTATCGTCCAATCATAGCCTACGACAAATCGGTTGCCGTCTGTCTACTAGTTTAGTTCGACAGGACCAAAACCTAAAGTTTAAGATCTAAATTGTCGCTACTACACTTGTGTCCTGTGAGAAAGGGGAATTTCAACAGGGCATATTTAGGTCACATGTGGTGTCAATCCTCGGAGTGTGGGTCGATGATTACCTTTCATGGGCATGAGTGGTTTGGCTTAAAGCCGATTCCGAACACATGTTCAATGCGACGTGAAATCAAACGGGGGAGAAGAAGAATATCTTTTGGTGTTGATTGGACGAAACAAGAAATTGACATCATCCCACGAAGAATCATGTCAGCGCATGTCTAGAAAAACAACATGATGTCCCCACAACCCATCCATACTATTGAAACACTGTACATAAAGCTATTGTATGGGTGTGGGAGTGGTTCACTGTGCCCCATGTCACGGATAGCGGGGTAGACAGCCCGGGTAGACTGCCGCGTAGGACAGCGACTATATATCCTACATATGCCAATTATATGGCCTATATACACAGATTATACAGCCTAAATACACAAATTATATGGCCTAAATACACAGATTACATGACCTATGTACAGCGATTATATTACCTATACACACCGATTATATGACCTATAAACACCGATTATATTACCTATACACACCGATTATATGACCTATACACACCGATTATATGACCTATAAACACCGATTATATGACCTATAAACACCGATTATATGACCTATACACACCGATTATATGATCTATACACGCCGATTATATGACCTATACACACCGATTATATGACCTATACACACCGATTATATTACCTATACACACCGATTATATGACCTATAAACACCGATTATATGACCTATACACACCGATTATAATACCTATACACACCGATTATATTACCTATACACACCGATTATATGACCTATACACACCGATTATATGACCTATACACACCGATTATATTACCTATACACACCGATTATTTGACCTATACACACCGATTGTATGACCTATACACACCGATTATATGACCTATACACACCGATTATATGACCTATACACACCGATTATATTACCTATACACACCGATTATATGATCTATACACGCCGATTATATGACCTATACACACCGATTATATGACCTATACACACCGATTATATTACCTATACACACCGATTATATGACCTATAAACACCGATTATATGACCTATACACACCGATTATATGACCTATACACACCGATTATATTACCTATACACACCGATTATATGACCTATACACGCCGATTATATGACCTATACACACCGATTATATTACCTATACACACCGATTATATTACCTATACACACCGATTATATGACCTATAAACACCGATTATATGACCTATACACACCGATTATATGACCTATACACACCGATTATATGACCTATAAACACCGATTATATTACCTATACACACCGATTATATTACCTATACACACCGATTATATGACCTATAAACACCGATTATATTACCTATACACACCGATTATATGACCTATAAACACCGATTATATTACCTATACACACCAATATTCTCTACTCGTTTGGGGTAGGTATGTGCACAGCAATCTATAAGTATGACGGCGGCCTGTAAATAAACGAGTCTGGACAAACAATCCAGTGATTCACATCGTGAGCGTCGATCCACGCAATTGGGATACGATAACATGCATCAACCAAGTCAGCGAGCCCGACCACCCGATCCCGTTAGTCGCCTCTACGACAAGCATGGTCGCCTTTTACGGCAAGCATGGGTTGCTGAAGACCTATTCTACCCCGGATCTTCACAGGACTAATTCTTTGTAAATGTTCTTAGACAATGATATTAACGAGGTCTGCTAACGATATAAGAGGTCATGGAGTTCTCACTTGTACAGCTATGACAGATATCCTATAACCAGAGCGTGTCAAGCTTGACGTGTCTCCATTGAGCAAAAGCCTATGGTCATGTTTAACAGTGTGTTTCCCCCGACTGTAAACCTTCGCTTGTGACCTAGATAATTCATTGACATCCAGTGTCTGTTTATATGTTTGTTGTCTTACGCCGGACTCAGCAATACTCCAGCTTTATGACGCCGGTCTGTAAATAATCGAAGCTGGGCCAGATAATCCAGTGGTTGACATCATGAGCATCGATCCACGCAATTGGGATACGATGAAATGCATCAACCAAATCAGCGAGCCCGACCCCCCGATCCCGTTAGTCGCCTCTGACAAGCATAGTTGCCTCTGAAGGGCAAGCATGGGTTGTTGAAAACCTTTACTAACCCGGATCTTCACGGGTCCTGTTTAGATGTACAGCGTATGGGATAGGGTACACGGTATCCAAGGGTAGTGAATGAGTCGGGTGGAACAACCAACATCCCAAGACTACCCGTTAACAGCAGCAGGGTGTATCACGGGTGTACCACGCGTCTTACATTATATCGCCCAGATGAGACCGTCGATCACACTGTCCACATCTTTGGAAACAATTCCAACTGGGTAGATCGGGTACCCTACTAGCCGTCAATTACCCGGTGTACCCGTGCGTCTGAAACATTACATTGACATATATAAGCGGAACAAGACCACACTCTACCAGTATGTTGGAGGGCCCACCCGGTGAACCCGAGCGGCGTTACGATACAGTACTGTTGACATATATATATAAGCGGAACAAGACCACATTCTACCCGTTTGCCATATAGCGACGAGACCAAGTTAATATATTCACAATTGAGTCATGTATGCAAAGTTATATTTAAAAACAAATCATGAAACATATTTGAGCATAACAATATCATGTATACAGTTTTAAAACACGGGCTATAGGTCACCAGTAACCAAAGCAAGGCCACCTCGCTGGGGATCATGGGGACTTACAGTACCTCGACATATATAAGAGAAACACTGTACCTGTGTCTTTGGGAAACACTGTCAACGGGATAGACGCTCGTGAATCAAGTAGGTCGGGTAGCCTATCCCACATACCCCGTATACCCATACACACACGAGGACTGCAATAATACAAAACCTATATAAGAAGGACAATGTGTACCTGTGTTTGGGGGACGATCTGTACGATAGACGCTCGTGAATCCAAGTTGGTCGGGTAGCCTACCCTGGGTTGCCGTACGACACGAATACTCCAAAAATATAAAACCTATATAAGAAGGACAATGTGTACCTGTGTTTGGGGGGCGATCTGTACGGGGTAGACGCTCACGAATCAAGTAGGTCGGGTAGCCTACCTGGGTGTGTCAGACAATGTTATACGGCAATGTTATAACACCTATATAAGCGGGACAATGTGTACCTGTGTGTGTTTGGGGGACGATCTGTACGGGGTAGACACTCGTGAATCAAGTAGGTCGGGTAGCCTACCCCGGGTTGCCGTACGACACACGAGTACTGCAATGTTATAACACCTATATAAGCGGGACAATGTGTACCTGTGTGTGTTTGAGGGACGATCTGTACGGGGGAGACGCTCGTGAATCAAGTAGGTCGGGTAGCCTACCTGGGTGTGTCGGACGACACGAGTACTACACAGTTGTTTAACGTATCTATGGAACACTGTACCTTTGTGTGTGCTTCTTCCGCGTCTCTCCCAATCAAGTATCCATGACCTCATAGGTCGATGTTGGAATTAGTTCGTCTCACAAGTCCTGTCCCCACTCCGAGTACTATCATGACCTGTGACCCGCCTTTCATCCAATGAAAACAGCCGTACTGTGCGTGTTGGGCGTGCCTGGCTGCAAATCAACCACGCGAGTCGTTTGAGCGTCTCGAGTATGGAAACCTGTTTGTGTCACCAGCAAAGCTGACAATGAACTGAGACGAGTCGTTTGAGCGTCTCGAGTATGGAAACCTGTTTGTGTCACCAGCAAAGCTGACAATGAACTGAGACTAATTGGATATGTACGGAAGCTTGTCGTGCTTTCCCTTGAGCAGTGTTATCTTGTTAAGCCGATTAGAGGAGTGTAAACAACGGTAATACCCTTACCCTACGGTCATTGTTTGAGGATATTGATAAACCTCACATTAATTAGATCACATTGGAGCGTACGTGACACGTGACTGGCTGTTGACACAGCTTGTAAGTGTTGAGAGGCTTTTATGTGACGCGGTTACATCTGGTGTTTGAAATAACTCGTTGTGAAGTTATTGTTTCAGTAAAGTTGCTCTGTTGTTGACTAAGACATGAGTTAAACTACAACACAACACATTAGTTTTCATAATGTTAATGGGCATCGCCGCGTTACGCTACTTGACTGAAATAGTCTCCCCCAGAATCTCTCTCTCTCTCTCTCTCTCTCTCTCTCTCTCTCTCTCTCTCTCTCTCTCTCTCTCTCGACCTCGACCTCGACCTCGACCTCGACCTCGACCTGCTCCTTAAAGTACATTAAGTGCAGAGCAAGCACGGCATTCTTCAAAATTCCAAATTTCCCAAAAATTGAATAAGCAACCCTAAAGTCCCCCAGGTTGCCCTTCCTTTTCGGACATACCCTCCTCGGCAGAGGGGCGGTCGGGTAGCCTAGTGGTTAAAGCGTTCGTTCGTCACGCCGAAGACCCGGGTTCGATTCCCGACATGGGTACAATGTGTGAAGCCCATTTCCGGTGTCCCCCGCCGTGATATTGCTGGAATATTGCTAAAAGCGGCGTAAAACCATACTCACTCACTCACTCCTCGGCAGAACCACTAAATGGCCTGGCGGGACCGTGTGCGAACTACTCACACAGTGGGAAAGCGCACGTAAAACTCGTAAAACACGTTTCAAATTGAACAATAGTTCTTTCAATGTCCGATTACACACGCAAACAAACACGGTATACTTTCTTTTGTCCTCAGTTTATAAAACCTGTATCATATACATCCCCATCGAATAACCGTTTCTTATTTTGTTACATTATAGCCACCATCAAACATATGTGTATACTTTCTTTTTCCCGGCATTTCTTTTTGTATTTCATTTTTCGCACAGCTTATTCAGTAATTCGAAGTCTTTCAGCGTTCATGAAAATTTTGTCTTGATGAAAAGCTGTAGACAATGTCTAGTCGCTACAACAAAATATTCATATTTTCGATTTCGGGTTAGATAAAATAGAATCACAAGATGACCCCAACCATTACTATGGCCTCGCTCACAAAACAACTACAGGGCCAATACCCTATATATACAGCTGGCGGATGACTCACATTCACGAACATAGAAAGTAGTTGAGGAAAGTGTTTGTCTTTCCAAATAGTTGTAGATATTTGTAGATCTGAGGTCACGAGTGAAAGCGTCAACTATCTCAGGTCACCAGTGAGAACTGTCAACTATCTTATGTCATGAGTGAAACTGTCAACTATCTTATGTCATGAGTGAAAGCGTCAACTATCTCAGGTCACCAGTGAGAACTGTCAACTATCTTATGTCATGAGTGAAACTGTCAACTATCTTATGTCATGAGTGAAACTGTCAACTATCTTATGTCATGAGTGAAACTGTCAACTATCTTATGTCATGAGTGAAACTCAACTATCTCAGGTCACGAGTGAAAGCTTCAACTATCTCAGGTCACGAGTGAAAGTGTCAACTGTTTCAAGTTACGTGTGAAAGCTTCAACTATCTCAGGTCACGAGTTGAGGTGTCAATTGTTTCAAGTCACGAGTGAAACTGTCAACTGTCTCAGGTCACGTGTGAAAGCTTCAACTATCTCAGGTCACGAGTGAAAGTATCAACTGTTTCAAGTCACGAGTGAAAGTGTCAACTGTCTCAGGTCACGTGTGAAAGCTTCAACTATCTCAGGTCACAAGTGAAAGTATCAACTGTTTCAAGTCACGAGTGAAACAGTCAACTGTCTCAGGTCAAGAGTGAAAGCTTCAACTGTCTCAGGTCAAGAGTGAAAGCTTCAACTGCCTCATGTCACGAGTGAAAGCTTCAACTACCCCAGGTCACGAGATGACACAAACATGTTATTTGACAAGAAGATTCAAAGAATCTAAAAAAGCATGATCTACATGCTCGTTCCCCCGTGACCCTGAAAACCATACTATCATTGAGACAGTGAGTGAGTATTTTTCTAAGCCGCTTTTAGCAATATATCAGCAATATCACGGCGGGAGACACCAGAAATGGGTTTAACACATTGTACCCATGTCGGGAATCGAACCCGGGTCTTCTCCATGACGAGCGAACGCTTTAACCACTAGGCTACCCGGCCGCCCGTTGAGACGGACTGGAAGTAGTTCTGACAGAGTGTGTTATTTCACTCGAGTGACATTATATTGTGTCAATTTTATAATTTCAGATAAAACAATAATAAAGTGAGGGGCATTGGAAAGTACACCGAGATTTTTTCATTTAATTGAAACTTGAAAGAGATGTTGTTAAATTGAATTACGGCAATTGCTTTAGAAAATGCGAGAAGGTCAAATCACGTGATGTCATTGCTGGTAGAAATGCATGGGCCACATGGGTAAAAAACTGCACAGTAGCAATGTCAAACATCCACATTGTAAAAGAGTGAGTGAGTGAGTATGGTTTTACGCCGCTTTTAGCAATATTCCAGCGATTTCACGGCGGGGGACACCAGAAATGAGCTTCACACATTGTACCCATGTCGGGAATCGAACCCGGGTCTTCGGCATGGCGAGCGAACGCTTTAACCACTAGGCTACCCGACCGCCCCCACATTGTAAAAGAAAAAACCCAAAACTTGAAATACACTCTTAGTCATTTCTTTCAGGTTTTCGGCACGACATTTACACATACTTGGAATAGAGTAGTCACTGCAGTGATGCCGGTCCCCAAATCGACTGTTGCAATCAGAGGTGACTATAAAGATTTGATACCTCTTGACCGACCAGTCAGAATTGAGAAATTTCCAAATTTGCTCGGATCTGAGCAGAGATTGTGGAGCTTCAGGTTACAAAATTACGTTCCGTTCACAGGCTCTGCGCTGGTCCTAATGCAGAAAGTGAGTATGGTTTTACGGCACTTTTAGCAATATTCCAGCAATATCACGGCGGGGTACACCGGAAATGGGCTTCACACATTGTTCCCATGTCGGGAATCGAACCCGGGTCTTCGGCGTGACAAGTGAGTGCTTTAACCACTAGGCTACCCGACCGCTTCCCCCCTAACGCAGAGAGGGCTGGGGAGGGTTTATCTTGAAGACAGATATCGGGGATCATACAATTAAACAAAACACACCGTGAAACAAAATAAAAATTCAAGGTAGAATTTTTGATCACTTGCTTTCAGAACTCCGCTTCTTGGCGTAAGTCTGTGTGACACAGATGAGGTTTGGACCGGACAAACCAGTGATTGACATCATGAGCATTGATCCACGCAACTGGGATACGAAGGCATGCATCAACCAAGTCAGCGACCCCGACCCCCCGATCCCATTAGTGGCCTCTTACGACAAGCATGGTTTGCTGAAGACTTTTTCCGCAGTTTAACATGGATACACCAGTAAGACACAATATACTGACTCAGAGCCGACCAGTCCTTGTTTTAGCTATGTGATGCCGAGCGACAGGTATGGCGCTGCCTGGGATCGATTCCCTGCCTTCCGCTCTCTGGGCAGACGCTCTATCCACAATACCACGGAAGCGCTCGTTAAATCACCAACACCATGGAGGACCATGTCATTTTAATCGCAGTGTATTTATGATTTGTAATTTGGATTGTTGGCTCAACTTGTAAATCCAGCTGGGATGATACCCAGGAAGCAGAGGTATCAGAGTGAGTGAGTTGGGTTTAACGCCGTTTTTAACAGTATTCCAGTTACATGTCAGCTTAATGTGGGAGGAAAGCCCGAAGTGATGCAGGTCTTAGGCGTTTACCACTTCGGTGAAACCCACGAGCACGGGTATTGTGCTGACAAACCTAGAAATATAATCGGGGTGAACCGGGATTCGAACCCACAATCGTAGGTTTCTGGCGTGCCCAAGGGACGCAACTCTGCACAGCGAATCGCGGCGCTTTGGACGACTGGGCCACCCGTGTACCCGAGAGGTATCAGGAGTCCCCAATTTATTGTACTAACTGTGGTTGCTGGCGACTTGTATCCCAAGTTTTATACATACTAGTGGGGGGAAATGACTATGCTTTGTATTAGAAGATTTATACGGAAATTAAATAATGCACCTTTCAAAATATATTCGTGAGGACATCTCTAGTCCAAGGTCATGATTTACAATTTGCAACTGCATGTTCATGCATGGCGCATAATTTGGATTTTGGCGTGTTTGTCGTGAGCGTGATACGTGTTTTTTCAATGTGAACAGAACAATGATTGTTTAGCTATCAGATGCTCATAAAGAAACAACCGTAGACACGGCTTGCTAAAGGTCTCTGTCATATTCGGTTGGTGCATCAAGGGAATCGATACCAAACTGCCACATTAACAGCTCGGACAGGTCCTGGATTGAGACCAATTAGTGGCAAACCGTATGCAACCGGTCGAGGGAGCAAAGCATCCGGCCCCGACGTCCAGCGATACGTCGAATTGTGCTTCCACTTCACCGTCAGGCAAGTCTAGCTTGAGTGAGTGAGTATGAATTTACGCCGCTTTTAGCAATATTCCAGCAATATCACGGCGGGGGACACCGGAAAATCATGGTACACACATTGTACCCATATGGGGAATCGTACCCGGGCCTTCGACGTGATGAGCCAACGCTTTAACCACTAGGCTACCCCAGCGCCCAGCCTAGCTTGAAGAAGACAGTATCGGAGTTTCAGAAGACTGAAACAGTATACTGTTCACATATG